ATAGAATAGAATAGAATAGAATAGAATAGAATAGAATAGAATAGAATTCTTTATTGGCCAAGTGTGGTTGGACACACAAGGAATTTGTCTTGGTGCAAATACTCTCAGTATACATAAGAGAAAAGATACATTCGTCAAGAATCATAAGGTATAACACTTAATGATAGTCATAGGGTACAATAAACAATCAAATCATACTAGGAAACAGTCAATATAAATCGTAAGGATACAAGCGACAAAGTTACAGTCATACAGTCACAAGTGGGAGGGGATGGGTGATAAGGAGTGATGAGATTAACAGTAATAGTAATGCAGACTTTGCAATAGTTGAACAGTGTTGAGGGAATTATTTGTTTAACAGAGTGATGGCTTTCAGGGAAAAAAAACTGATCTTGTGTCTAATCTAGTCTACACAACTGCTCTAAAAATCCAAACACCAAAATAAACAGAAATGACCAATGAAAACAATACAATGAAAGTTTGAGGAAGGTGGATTCATTGTAAAAGTGTACAACTAAAGGGATTTTCACATCTTCCTTGGACTCTGTCTTCACCTTCCCAAGGGAGGTAAACGTCAGTTTAGGAAATCCTGCCTTAGAGTAAAGCATGGACAATGTATAAATTCTATATTATGCAACACTAGAGAAGTGGGTATCTGCATATAAAGCTAACATGAATGTTGTTATTCTCTAGCTGTAGTCTTATTAGACATGAAAATAGTGTAAAAGGGTCATAAAACGATCACAATTTATTTTCTATTTCTATTGTGAAAATCATACTTTTGAAAAAAATGACTAGGTAGGGATGAATATTTTCCTTCCTTGTCTGCTATGACAATTATGGAATATATAGAAAAATATACAGGAAGATGTACACATGTGCTATAGCAGTGTATGTTAAGGATAGTGGGATAAAGCCCTATTGCACAATTCTAAATTTCCCAGGTAAACTCAGAACCAAAAGATCCTAGTCCTACAAATTTTTACATCTCAGAAAATTTTATTTTGCACCCTGTTCTACAAAATGTTTCTTCACAGCATGGTGTAGGTGCATCATCAAATTACAACAGAGACATTAAAATAGATATTAAATGTAAAATCCAAGCCAATCATTACACAGTCGTATATTACAAAAAAGACACACACTGAAATGAAAAGGTATCCTTACTTACCCACACAACATTTTTGACACCATTTGGTATCTGGGATTTTTGTAGACACTGCAAACTTCCTAGAATGCATAAAGAACAATGGAAATTAGTATCATACCTTCCTCCAGATATGATCCTACTACTTGAGTCTTGATTTTGCTCCAAATCAATAGAGTGGTAGGAAGGTACAGTTAATTGTAACAGTGTACTACACAAATAAAGCAGGTTAATTCTACCCTGTAAAATATTAAACCACCAGCCCCAATATTAAAGACTTAAAGCCCCAATCTTATAGGGCTACAGAGAAACTTAAGAAAACCTCAACTGAACATTATATGAAGAAAGAATCTAAATGCCATTCCTTGTGCTGTAATTGATCTGGCCTCCTTCCTGTGCAATCCTTAAGAGTTGTTTTTTCCAACCTGGCGGCTGGGGAATTCTGGGAGTTAAAGTTTACATATCTGAAACTTGATGAGCTTAGGAAATAGGCCTTAAGAGAACAATGTGCCCTCAATTTTTTAAAATTAAATCCTTTTTAAGATGTTCCTTTTGAAACTCAGAGTTCCATGTCAATAAAAGACAAAATTCTCCTTTTTTTCTTGTTAGAGCCTTGGTGGCACAGTGGTTTGAATGCAGGACTGCAGGCTAACTTACTGCTCACTCCAGGAGTTTGATTCTGAATGGTTCAAGGTTGACTCAGCTTTCCATCCTTCCAAGGTCGGTAAAATGAGGACCCAGATTGTTGGGAGCAATATGCTGACTCTGTAAACTGCTCAGAGAGAGCTGGAAAGCACTGTGAAGCAGTATATAAGTCTAAGTGCTATTGCTATTATTCCCTAAACCACTCTGCTGCCTAAGTTACAGCCCAATACATTCAGGAAATTATCTTAAAGTTTGGAACATTTTTAGAGGATAAGGAAGAGGAAATTCCAACTTTTTCAGTCCACTTTCACTGCCTGTTTAAATGAAATTTTAAAAAAATACAATAAATTGTTCTCATCTACAAACATTTGTGAGCCATTTTGGGGACTCCATTTAAAAACAACAACATACAATCCAAAACAAGCAATATATTTATTTACCTGGGAAGTATTCTGTCAGGTAGTTTATGTGCTGGTATAGCCACTGGTAACTTCTGCATTTGCCGTGCATAGTCAAATAATCCTGGCAAATTATGAGAATAAAGCTGAGAAGCTTTACCTATAAATAAAAAGGTAAATATAATTACTTTACAAACCAATGTACTAATATTTATAAAGTAATTTTTTTTAATGAAATGTCCTACCAGATATTGATAGCAAGCAATTGTTCATTACATATAACCATGTGCATCGTCGGGGAAATAGCTGATAAAAGGAAGAGAAATAATTTTGAATGTGATCAGATAGATAATATACTTGATATAGTAAACTAATTATTAGACATCCTGTCTTACACTTGCTTAGTGCACATATTTTCTTGGTTGTTTATTAAACCTATTTAATATATGGTTCCAATAAATAATAAGTGTAAAAAGTGTAAAGTTAAATAATTGTGGTTGATTTGTTGCTAGATAGCCTATAGAACCTCCAGAAATGCCATATGGTATAAACCTTCAGAAATGCCATAAGGCTTGAGGTAATTGTACCCTCTTTGTGTTTAACAAAGTTGAGGGTAGCCCAGATCAAGGAAGTCTTTTCTTCAAAACAGTTCATGCCAAGGAGAGTCCCATCAATTTGTATAAGATAAGATCCTCTAAGAAGAAACTGTCAGCTGGCATTCATCTGCTATTCAGCAATCATGCTCAGTATGATGAAGTTCTTAATTTTGCTGCTACTGATGGGTCACCCAAAGTGTCTTATGCTTTAACTCACCCATTTAAGATGGAAATAAGGCATTATCATTTACCTTCAATAATACTTGCTGTATCATTGTCCCATGACCTGGATTGAGATGTTATAAAACCAGTGATATAGTCTCTGATGAGACCACAAATTCTGAGTAGGGAGATGGGTGGCATTTTAGCACTTTTTCCTTAAAACAATTCCCTTAACCATTATCCAAAACTGTAATCTATATTCTGGATACTTTTTCATATTTCCACATTGTTTTATTTTTTTCTATTTTGGGTAAATCCAATACTTTACTTCAGGGCTGTCAAACTCCTGGCCCATGGGCCAGATGCATCATGCACTGGCCATGCCCATGCCCGGTTTAACAAAGGGGAAAAAAGTCCTGATACGTCACGTGACGCTGTCGTGATGATGTGAGTTTGACACCCCTGCTTTACATAGACATCCGTTTCTTTTTCTGGATATTAAAAAATCTATTTTATTTAGATCAATTAATAGCTAGCATCTCATAGATCACATGTAGAAATACAGACATTTAATGAGATATAACTATCTCCATATAGATCAGGGCTGTCAAACTCGCGGCCCACGGGCGGATGTGTCCCGCACTGGCCATGCCCATGCCCAGTTTAGTGAAGAGGAAAAAAGTCCCAATATGTCACGATGACGCCGTAATGTAAGTTTGATGACTCTGATATAGATAGATAGATAGATAGATAGATAGATAGATAGATAGATAGATAGATAGATAGATAGAGATAGATAGAGCTATCTTTATATCTGAAAAATCGGAGTAATTTACATTCTTTTTAAAAGTATTTTGGAAGTCAGTGTACTCCATCTAGTAATAATTGTAGCTGTTAAATATCTACCCCCAAACTTGACAATTTTCAGCCTTAAAAATAAAGATCTGATCTCTTGGTAATTAACAGAAAAATGCTTTAGGATACATTGAGAAAATTATTCACTACTACATTTGAAAACCAAAATCTGAATACAAACCTGTTCCATTGATGTTTCATGAAGCTCATTAAGATTTAAGGTATAAATACCTTCCTCAGCACCAAATATTAAGTACTGATCTACAAAGAAATGCAGGTACTTAACAAAGGTTTTCATTTATCACACAAAAGTCTCTCAAAGCAATACCCATACATTTAAAATAGCATAGATTAAAATATACTACTTAAACATAGGACAGATATATGAACGAATCCCTTTTTAAACAAGTGATTCAAAATATCTTGAGTTACATGGTAAGGAATTACAGGTTACCCCATGCATGGTTGGAAAATCCATGCTGAAACAAAGCAGATTTGGTTAGTGCCTGAAAGCCATTTTCTTTCATTGATTTGCATTGCTTAATGGAACTATACCATCATTATTTATTAATTTAATAAATAAATTTAAAAAACCCCATCATTATTTATTAATTTTTGGGTGTATATTAAGAGCCAACTGTTTGGAAATCTGAAACAGCCCTACCTCCCAATGTAAGGGAGGTGGATTATTTCAAAATGTGATAAATAAAGTATTTCTAATTTTTAAATATTAGTTGGCAAAGGGCCAAAAGTCTATATTTTGCCCTGGGTCTATTCGGTTACAAGTTTGAGTAGAGGTTACAGTTTTTCCTCCAGGTCAATGCTAACCTGGTATTTCTAAGACTTTATCTGTGGCAAATTTAACATTTTTGCAAACTTTTCATCTCAGTGCCACTCAGCATTTATAGGGAGCATAAGTTTATAAGGAGAAGCTTTCTTTTCTTTTTGATGGCTCCATCCTCAAGTTCTGTCTGCAGAAACAAAGAAAGCTCAAGTTTTTCTAATTAGAAAAACTGGTCCATGCTTCATTCCTTATCATATGATAATGAATCCATGGTTGATTTTCAACATCCAATGTTGTTCTCACTTAGAGATGGAAGATTCCATCCTGTTTTGCATATATCAGCTCTCAACAGAAAATTATTCTGGTTTAGATTTTCTGTTGAGAGCTGATATATGCAAAACAGGATGGAATCTTCCATCTCTAAGTGAGAACAACATTGGATACTTAGTTTTAAGATTATTTTTCATTTGATGTGAAGCATACAGCAATAGGGTAATTTCCCCTATTGTCCAAGAAAGGTTTCTATCTTTAGATTTGGCAATGCTAAACCATACTGTTTCATTATGTGAAATAGCATTCTCATGAAGGATGAAGACTGGTGTGCCAGCCTCATTACAGGTAGCTGACCCTGAAATCTTTCTTCCTAAGAAGGAAGAACGTAGCTACATATGCAGAAGAACAAGATGACAATATGGCAAACTGGCCTGTACTATTTTCAGACCGTGTGTGTGTTTGCGCGTGCGTGTGTGTTTGCAGGAAGCTTGTTGCAAGTAAAAGATAACAAAGAGATCATATGAGCTAAGCTAGAACCAATATCTGAAATACAATTTTAATAGAATAACAGAATTGGAAGTGACTTTAGAGGTCTTCTAGTCCAACCCACTGCTCAAGCAGAAATTTATAGCATTTCAGACAAATGGTTGATCAATCTCTTCTTAAAAACTTCCAGTGTTAAAACGTCCACAACTTCGGAAGACAAGTCTGATTAATTGTTCTAATTGTCAGGAAGTTTCTCCTTAGTTTAGGTTTTTCTCTCCTCGATTAGTTTCCATCCATTGCTTCATGTCCTGCTTTCTGGTGCTTTGGAGAATAGGTTGACCCCCTCTTCTTTGTGGCAGCCCCTTAGATATTGGAACACTGCTTTCATGTCTCCCCTCGTCCTTTTCATTAACCTAAGCAAACCCAATTCCTGCAACCAGTCCCCTAATCATCTTTGTTGTTCTTCTCGACACTCTAAAGTCTCATCATCTTTTTTTATATCATGGCAACCAAAACTGGATACAGTATTCCAAGGCATTATAAAGTGGCACTAACACTGCATGTGATCTTGATTATATCGCTCTGCTTTTTTGGCAACTGTAGCACACTGCTGGTTCATATTTAAGTGATTGTCCAAGCTTTTAAAAGGGTAAGAGCCAGTTTGGTATAGTGGTTAAGATACCAGCAAAGACTGTGATTTCTAGTTCCACTTAGGCACAAAACTAGGTAGGTGACCTTTAGCCAGCCTCTCCCCCGTTCTCTCAACTCTAGGGAGAAGAAGTGGCAAACCACATCTGAAAAACCTTGCAAGAAAACTGCAGAGATTTATTCAGGCAGTTGCCAGGAATCAAAGGCATAAACATATAAAAAACAAATAAGGGTGATTTGAAGCCATGACTGAATAAATGAATAAATAAGGTTGACCAGAGGACATGCACACATGCATGCATAAATAAATAAAGGTAACCTCCTCCCCTTGATCTGCAGATGACCCAATGGCCTTCAAATTTAGCTATTTTGTTCCATTATCTGTGTAAGACTAGGTTTTATCTGTATAATCAAGATTAAGCAGAATGATGAAAGGTTTACAGAGGGTCATTAGTGTAGACAATAAAATTTCAAATCATATGAAAAGCCTCAAATAGATATCTAGTATGATATTAGGTTTAAAGAGAAAGCATATAATTTAGTAGATGACTTTCATCCTGTAAAAACGTTTAACAGGATTATAGTTATTCCAGGTATCCATACTAGTTCAATAAATCAAATCCACATTCCATTGCAATTATTTCATAAGTTTGTAGATAATTACTAGAACAACCAGAAAAAAGTCACAGGGGTGAGATTGGGATATAGAAATGTGATGAATGAATGAATGAATGAAATATTGACTAATAAAAACCTTAGAAGAGAATCTTGCTAAAGTTTCAAAAGAGATCACAGAGAAGTATCCATCTTTCAGGGCAAACTGCCTGCCTCAGTGTATGAGCATTCAAGTGGCATCCAGAACTCAATTCCATAATAAAATGTTTTTTATTAAATATTATTTTTTAAATATTATTCAATCCTGGTTCAGAGCAAAAACATAATTTTAGGAAAGTTTGATGAGACTATTACCTCTTGTATCGGGATTTATCCATGAAGTTGCACAATGAATTTTCAAGGGGCATCCATTGAAAACCTTTGAAAAACAAGCACCCATCTGTGTAAAACAAAATGACACATAATTTTGAACAATGAATTTACGAGTGGCTCAAGAACTTTCAACTAAAAATGAGCATTTTCAGGGGAGGGAAAGATCTGCATACAACAATATGACATATCACACAATGCTATAATATGTTCTCCTGAGAGCCGTTCGGATCATCCAGAGAGAGTGGGAGGTGCTTCAGTCTACGTCGTTGATGGCTGAGCTCAATCACTGAGGAACGCTCCGCCCTCCATCACGTGGCTCTCTTGCGTTCCCAGTTTGCGCTCAGCCGTCGTCAAGTTAGGCTGTGCATTTCTCACTCCTTGGCCGATCCAAGACTTGCTCTCAGGTTTGGAAATATTTATAGAGAAAAACAAGTTATTTTCCTTAGCCTTCTGGCGCAGGACTGGGGATTTAAGGGGAGCGCGTTTCTTTCGCCCCCAGGGGGGTTGTAGAACGGGCGACTTTCGCGCTTCGGCGCTAATTCCCCCCCCCCCAATTTGATCTCTTGCCTGCCGTTTCTCTCGCTGCGCTTGCAGCAGCTTTACTGATCGCACTGATAAGTGCTGCTGGTATTCCCCCCCACCGCAAACGCCGCTCGCCCTAAGAAGGGGTGAAAACTTACTGCTTGGCTTCCTCGGCCTCTTTTAAGGCCGGAGAAGTAAAAAACTTCATTGCCCTGAGCAGCCCGGGACTTTAGCAACGTGGGCGATCGCCTCTAGGGCGCCCCCACGTGGCGGGCGCCATCTTTAAAAAAATAAAATAAAAAGATTGAGGCCTCATAGCGCTGCGAAGTAACCGGCCCTAGCACAGGCCTCTCAGCCTGTAGGGCCTTTGCTAATTGGTACAATTTAGTAATTGTTGGCTTCCCGCAGCACGCTCAGGGCAAGTGATTGCAGCCTATCCCTCCCGGTTGTTGCCTGGGAGCTCCAGCTGCCAGAGGCCTCTCTTCCAGCCTCAGGCGTTTAATTCGGATAATTGGCAATCTTTCATTAATAGAGTAATAATAATAATATTAATAATTACAATTATAATAATTATAATAATAATAATATTAATAATAATCATATATTACTAATAATAATATTAGAACAAGAATATTAACAATAGTTCTAATTCTAATAGACATTGGAATATCTGCCTGTATGCAGGTCTAGATATTTCCTCATATATAGGTTTATATTTATACTCACATATAGATAGACCTGAGTGAGTTTATTCCTGTAATTTTTTTCTTATTGATATTGTACCTTAGCATTCCAAGTCTCATTGGATTGTTATCCTGCTTGTGCAGATAAGTATTAAGAATTATTTCAACATCTATATTACAGAATTTATACATCTAAATTCCAAAAGGGGGTGTGGGCCAGCTGAAAGGACACCCGACCTTTGTTGTAGGTCGAACCCTTGGCGAGCCAACCGCCTTTAACTGTATTACTGTCCTTTCTTGTACAATGGCAGATGACATTCCCACCAAAGGCCCTTCTTTGAAGGCCAAATCCAAATCCTACCACCTGCGCAAACAGGCTAAGGAAACTCCTAAGGAAACTCCTAAGGAAACACCTAAAGAGACCTCTAAGGCTTCTCAGAGAGACGCCCTACGACGTCACAGGGCTCTCGAGAGGGAATTTGACAGGCGGTCCAGAGAGACACAACCGGTACTTCCAGCACCCTCCGCTCCTTCTACCTCCAGACCCCCCCCCTCCTCCAGATTGTTTTTCCGTCTCCAGGCGCAGCCCATCCCAGGGACACCAGGCTCCCGGCCCATCAACCAGACAACCTCCTGAAGCTACTTTCACGCCCACGGCCGCTGGTCTTCGCCAGGAGGAGGCCCCCTCATCCGAGATCCCTGCGCACATACAGGCATTCATGGAACGGGCCATTCGCCAGGGGATAGCAGAGGGCCTTCAACAGATGTCCAGGTCTACTCCCCCCTCACTGGCACCCGAACACGACCCACCATCAATGAGGTCCTCGCCTAGATCAGACCCTACTCGTGGTCAGGTACCTTCTCAAGGGGGCAGTCCTCTCCCAGAAAGGGACCCGGAGGAGGATATAGAGTATCTAGACCAATTTGGGGGAGAAGAGGAAATGGAATGGGGGTCTATGCAACAAGAGGAGCCCCTATCGGAGGTAGATCCTATGGAGGGGGACATGTCCGAGGATGAGGGTCTCACCCCGGACCAACCCACTGTTGCGGGCCTGTTCAAGCCCCACATGTTTAAATCCCTTTTATTCAAAGCCAGGAACATCTCTGGCCTGTCGGTGCAAACCTCCTCAGCTCTCCCCTCCCCGGCAGAAGGTCAGGAGGACGCCATCTTTAGTCAACCCGTGGTGGAGGCGGAGGTAATCCCGGCTCCACCCCTATTTCATGACCTGGTCTCAAATCAACTGAATTCTACTAGGGCCCCTCCCGCCCCATCCAGCCTGGACAGGAGGTTCTTTAACCTCGAGTCGAGTTTCTGTGACTTACTCAACACCCCCGAGGTGGATGAGCCCATTGTTGGGTTGGCCTCCTCGTCCTCCCCCAGTGACCCCCTAGAGGCTCTGAAACCCGAGGACAAGAGGTCCGAGCTCGCCCTACGTAGAGCTCACCAAGCGGACTCCTGGGCCATTAGATCAGCCACTGCGGCTTCTTTCTTCACCAGATCCTCGATCCGGTGGCTTCGGCAACTGAAGCAACATGTTCCCCCCCTCCAACACAAGGGCTCACCAGGACATAGCAAAACTGACGGCCGCGGCGGAATTTTCCGCTGACGCCACCTTCCATGCGGTCAAGTTCTCTGCCCGGGCAATAACGTCCCATGTCACTGCTCGCCACCTGCTATGGCTTAAACACTGGCAGGCGGACGTTAAAAACAAAGTTAAGCTGGCTACTGCCCCCATAAAAGGGGACAAACTATTTGGCACGGCTCTGGACCCCTTGCTATCTGAAACCCGGAGCAAGAGAAAATTTCTCCCTCCTCTGTTTCGGAGGTCAGAGTCTAGAGGCCCCCAGCCATTTCGGAGAGGCTCCTCCCGCCCTTTCTACCAGTCTCCCTTCCCGCCAAGGCACTCGAGACCCCCCTCCTCCCGCCCGTTCCAGCCCCAGGATCGAACCGATCCGGCCGATAGGCACAGGAGGGGCAGCGGCTACAGGCGCTCTTTCAGGGGCTCAGGAGGGAGGCCCTTCCGGCGTAGATAGATCCCGTCCCTCCCCTCCCATCGGCGGACGCCTCAAGCACTTTGCCGACCGATGGGACTCTTCCACCTCTGATACCTGGGTCCGTGATACCATCAGACTCGGCCTCACGCTCGAATTCAAGAGCGCCCCCCCTGACTTCTTTCTGGTGTCCCCCCCCTCAAGGGACCCCATCAAACGCAACCTAATGGATTCAGCAATCCATCATCTTCTCCAAATACAGGCCATTCAACCCGTCCCACCCTCCCAGCGGGGGCAGGGGTTCTACTCCCACCTTTTTGTAGTCCCCAAATCCTCCGGAGGATGGAGGGCCATCTTGGACCTTAAACGCCTTAACCGTTATCTGGTCTATCGCAGGTTCAAGATGTACACCCTGCAGTCCATCCTCCTCAGCATCCGCCAAGGGGACTGGCTATCCTCCATAGACCTCTCCGAGGCCTACCTCCACATTCCAATCCGACCCTCCCATTTCAAATTCCTCAGGTTCTGCTACAACCACCGCCACTTCCAATATGTCGCCCTTCCCTTTGGGCTAGCCTCTGCCCCGAGGACCTTCACTAAGGTCCTCGCGGCCCTGGCGGCTCATCTCAGGAATCTCCCGGTCCGCCTCCATTGCTACCTGGATGACATCCTCATCCTCTCTCCCTCCAGACCCCAAGCAGAGAGGGACATCAGGGTTACTATCTCGGCCCTCCAAGACCATGGTTTCCTAGTTAATTGGCAAAAGAGCCAACTATCCCCATCTACAAGGATCTCCCACTTGGGGGCTGTCATTGACTCAGTGCAGGGTAAGGTGTTCCTCTCCCCCGAGAGATTCCGTAGTATCCAGGAAGCCGTCAGGCATATCAGACGCTCCAGGAAGGTTACAATTTTAGAATTGTCCAAATTACTGGGTAAAATGGTTTCTTGTATCTCCATTGTTCCATGGGCCCGTTTACACGCTAGACCCCTACAATGGTTCCTGCTCCCATTCCAGCGGACCGGCAGAAGCAACTCAAAGGCCACAGTCAAGGTACCTCCAAAAGTCCTTACATCTCTCCTCTGGTGGACCAGCCCCACCATCAACAAGGGTCACTTCATCAAGGAGCCCCACCGCCTCACCCTTACCACAGATGCCAGCCTGTCCGGATGGGGCGCTCACATCCTCTCGCTCTCAACTCAGGGCACATGGTCTCAGGTAGAACGGGGGTGCAGTATAAACTGGCTGGAGCTCCACGCCATCTTCCTGGCCCTGCGCAGTTTCCTCCCCCAAGTACGCGGGCGGCATGTCCTCATACTCACGGACAACGTCACCGCCAAGGCTCACGTCAACCGTCAGGGGGGCACACAGTCCATCCGCTTGATGAGGGAGGCCGAACGCCTCTGCCGTTGGGCAGAGCGCAATCTCCTCTCCCTCAGAGCCGAACACATCTCAGGGGACTCAAACACCCAAGCGGATTGGCTAAGCAGGACCACGGTGGACCAGTCCGAATGGCGCATCCACCCGTCACTATTCAGGGAAGCGACCAGAATGTTCCGTCTCCCGTTAGTAGACCTCTTCGCCTCCCCACTCAACACGCAACTCCCCAGGTTTTTCTCCAGGTACCCCTCCCACGGGGCCGAGAATCACGACGCCCTCCGTTGCCCCTGGCCCACAGGGCTCCTCTATGCCTTCCCGCCTCTAGCCCTGGTTCCCAGAGTTCTCCAGAAGCTCATCTCCGAGAGGGCAGAGCTGATTCTAGTAGCACCCTTCTGGCCCAGGCGCCCCTGGTTTGCGGACCTCCACAACTTATCGGTGGCCCCTCCCTGGAGAATCCCCCCGACCAGGATATCCCTCTCCCAGGGGCCCCTTCAACACCCAGACCCTCAGTGGCTCCAGTTAGCCGTTTGGAGGTTGAGCGGGAACGCTTAAGGAAAGAACGGTTTTCCGACCAAGTTATTGAGACCATTTTAGCCGCCAGGCGGCCTTCAACAACCCGCATATACAACGCCACTTGGAAGGGATTCTGCGAGTGGTGTCATGGTCTCCAGATCAACCCGCTGTCACCTTCCATAGCTCAGGTCTTGGAGTTCCTCCAAGAGGGCCTGAGGAAAGGGCTTTCCCCCAACACCCTAAGGCGTCAGGTCGCAGCGCTATCCACAGTCATTGACTGTGATAACCTGGGTTCCCTTTCCCACCACCCCCGTATTCGGGCATTCCTCAGGGGGGCCACCAACCTGTGTCCCCCAACCATACACCGATACCCTACCTGGGACCTTAACAAGGTCCTGGTGTCTCTGACTAAGCAACCCTTTGAGCCTCTCAGGGAAGCCACTCTCCAATTCCTCACATTCAAAGTGGTATTCCTGGTAGCTATTACTTCGGCCCGCCGCATATCAGAGTTAGCAGCCTTGTCGGTAAGGAAGGACCTTTGCATATTTCATGCCGATAGGGTGGTCCTCCGACCGGACCCTACCTTCCTGCCCAAGGTTAACTCGACCTTTCACAGGGCTCAAGAACTCATACTCCCGAACTTCTGTCCCAATCCCTCGCGGGAAAGGGAGAAGCTTTGGCACTCACTGGACGTAAGACGGGCCCTACGCATTTACATTAAGCGTACCCAACCCTTCCGGAGGTCAGAATCTCTCTTCCTTTCCTTCCAGCCCAAATCCTTAGGCCACAAAGTGTCCCCGTCAACCATCGGCCGCTGGATTAGGGCTACCATTTCCAAGGCTTATTTGTCCCAGGCACTGCCGGTACCCAGGGGGATCACAGCACACTCCACCAGAAGTGCAGCCACCTCGGCGGCTTGGGCCACCCAGGCTCCAATTTCTGATATTTGTCGGGCAGCCACTTGGGCATCCCCCTCTCCTTTCATTAGACACTATAAGATTGACACCTTTGCCTCGGCGGAGGCTTCGTTTGGTAGGCGAGTCCTCCAGCGAGTCTTCAGGGAACCTCGGAGATTGCAGGACCAGACGGGGTCCCTCCCGTAGGACAGCCAAGCTTTGGTATGTCCCACTCTCTGGATGATCCGAACGGCTCTCAGGAGAATGGGCGTTGGTTCTTACCTGACACGCCATTTCTCTGGAGCCGTGAGGATCATCCAGCCCCACCCTTTAATTGCCGTCTGGTGGGGCCTTGTTTCGGCCAATGACCTATTTAGCATAGGGAGAGCAGAGCAACGTCCTTCTCTTCACCTTCGTCTTCACGCAAACTGGGGAACGCAAGAGAGCCACGTGATGGAGGGCGGAGCGTTCCTCAGTGATTGAGCTCAGCCATCAACGACGTAGACTGAAGCACCTCCCACTCTCTCTGGATGATCCTCACGGCTCCAGAGAAATGGCGTGTCAGGTAAGAACCAACGCCCAATTTTGTCTTAATGTGATTACAAATTGTAGGAGAGCCGTGTTAGTCTATGGTGACAAAATTAAAAGCAGTCTAGAAACTCTTTTTGACTAACACTAACAAATTTTGCCTAACGTATCTTCCACTCCATTCTTCCCAGCTCATTCCAATTGATGTGCCACAGAAGATTTCAGTTCTGAATGCCATTTTATTATTTTAGTAAGTTTTAATAATTGTTGTATGACTATATTTTTTCCTTGAATGGCATATAGAATCACATAGTCTGAGCTGGGCCACCATATAAATGCTTAAATAAATAAATTTTAAATCCTTCTTAGGATTGAAATCATTAGCCACTTCATGTAGTGAGCCGTACTTACACCATTTAATAAAAGCTTACACTATTTAATAAAATGTATTACTCTGAAAAGGTGCTCCTTCACTCCTCCTGGTTTGTGATATATAACTGCAGCTGCTTAATAAGAAAAGCAGTTTATTCTGGGCCAATAACAGAAATTATGCTCTATTTATTATAGCTATGACTTAGTTATTATTTCAAAATCAAAGGTATCCTTTTATTTCCTTGGCTGTAGTTAAAGCTTTGTATAATTTTGATGCCCTTCTTTCTGTTTGATTTAATTTCCTACACTGATTAGCTATGGCAGCCAACACTATTTTGTTGACAAACGCTGCACCTTTCTTATTTTCAATTTTATTTCAAACACAATACATCTGGATCATCAGAGAGAGTTACAGCTACTCTGTAATTATTTGTTGTAACAGGCATAATATTGTTAATGCAGTACATAAATGTAACTTCTAAATAAAAATTATATGCTGTTGGACAGTATTTCAATTTTATTGAAATACTGTTGGACAGTATTTCAATTTTATTAAAAGGAGTTTCTCAGGTTCAGAATGGAATACTTACATGTACTTTTGGTGTAGGAGGAAGACCGTTACTAATTGGCTTCTAGGAAAGAAAAGAAACATACATTTAAATACTGGCTTTGAATTTGAGCTATAATAGCTGGAAAAAAATCTGTTGAAGTGGGAAGGTATTTGCTCATGGCATCAAAAAGATACTTTTAAGTATGATGGAGAGACAAAGCTTTCACCTCAAGACTTGCAGAAGGGATCTACTGATTAGTTTTCTATAAACAATAAAGGCAATATTCTTTGCTAGACTCAAGTTGGAGAAGAACCAGAAACTTAACAACAATCCAGAAGGACAGGTTGTTTCATGAATGAAGGCAAATATAACTGTTCCAGGATAATGTTGCAGGATTCAATCAGGGTCAGTCACTGGGACCAAAAGAAGACTAAACTTTTTGAACTCATGCTGGAGTCCATCCTCAGAGAACTTCTCTCTAGCAGAGTGCATGCTTTGGGCTATTCTGTGTGTACTGTTTGAACAGGTTGTTTCCCTATAATTGTGATTCTCAAAGAAGAGAGGCGCCTAAGTTTGAAATAAAAAAGGGGATTATTTAGATTAAGTATGCATTTTTGACTATCCAGCCTAATACTATCAATGCTTGATTTAAAAGCTTGTATTTTTTCTCTGGTTTATTTTAATAAAAATATCCATTGTACTAGGTTTACACAATAAATGAAAGTAATCAGAGGAAGTTTTGCATCTGTAGCCTTTGGGAGGAATCTTCATCATTGCATACCTGCAGCTAAACCATGATTAGAAGCATTGCTATTGGATTTAGAGGACAAATAATTTATTTGTCTTCCTACTGCAGTCTAAAGTGATCTTGAATATGCAAGAACAAGATATTATTATATTATTGTGTAAACAGAACACTCTACCACTGGTAATTATGAGAATCATGATCTTCCATTCTATGCTGAATGAAGTCAAATACCTTTTGTTTAGGAAAACATGTTCAATTAAGAGATATTGGTCCCAACACTGGGCCCAAAACACTGCACATAAATTACTCCCCCCACCCCTAAGCACTGTCTTATTTTGCAGTTTTTGGAATGTGATTCAGCTGTAGCAATTTTGCTTTCATTTTTGAGTGCCTTCTTTTTGCATTCTTACAAAAGGCACTCACAATATCTGTTAAGACTGACAGCCTTACAATTCCCTCCACCCCTATAGCTCCTGAAAATCTTATTTCTGGTACATGGAAAGTACATTTCAGACAATTCACTGAGACCTATTTTCCAAGTTTGTACAATAACATTAATAATGGATTTATTATCTTGCTTTACTTTGCAGTACAAATGCTTCAATTCAATAGCATAAAAATATACGCCCAAATACAAGCAAATCATAAGATGCAATAACCTAAAGGAATTTGCATTGAGTTTTTCCAACAATCTGAAAGAACAAAGCAGAAACATAGCATTACCTACCAATATTTCCTTTTTTTCTTTCCTAGGATTAGTGTGCCTATTCTCACTTGGTTCTTGATGAGGAGAACTTTCCTTGTCACCATTTAATTGCACAGAATTAAATCCATTACCTTCAGAGAAAATGTTAAAGGCAATTAAAGAATGCATCACAAGAACAGTTCGATGCATGTGCATCATTGTAATCTCCAAAGTCTACTGAAAGCATTTTCAGATTTCCAAAAAGCTATGAAGGATTGTTGAGATTAACTCTCATTTACAGAATTTAATTCCATTTTAGTCTCAACTAAATCCAAGCAAGAAAATATTTCCAAAGCACTATAAGGGATGGTTGTCTATGCTGGCCTATGGGCTAAAGGATAAGTTTGAAAATAGTGAAACATCCCAACAAACCGATAAAAAATCTGTTCCTATTGAAAGCTATTTTTGTTACCTGCCCTGAATCTTCAAAATAGAGTAGGCTTACAAAACAAATTTGCAAATCTTCTGAAACAAAACTCCCTAAATGGTACACATATGAACTTGAAATATGAACCCAGCCTTGACAATTGTAATTTATTTGCAGTTTGAGCTACAAAAGTTATGATGAAAACATCAAACTGAGGCCGTACACTAATTATTTTTCTTCCATTTGTTCACTATAGAATATGCTGGGACCTGCAAGATTAAAGTATAATACAGCATTACAAATAAGAAGCATTAAAAAAACCCAAAAAGACAAGATAGATTACAATTAATGGTGGATTATCAATGGGCAGCCAAAGACTGCCTAATTTTGCAGACAGTGTAACAAAATTTAGCTATATTCGAGGAGATTATAGTGGATTGAACCAATAATAGCAATTGTACATTAAAAAGTTTGGTGTTTCCTGGTTATTTTATCAGGTGTGGTGTTATGAGATGTGTCTGTGAGTCCTTAAAGAAGAAACAATATAGGAGGACATAAGCTGTTGTTTAGATAGCCCCTTGTCCACAGAGGCACAGCCTCAGCTTGTATGGAAGCAATTTTTCTCAATATGATCCATTACCTAAAATGCTTGATTTCTGTGGAGGTAATCGAGGAGGTGGTGGTCTAGGAGGGACTTGAGTGTTTGATTTTGCAGGACTCTCTGTAATAGGACATCTTTTAATAGTTCCTTGATTATCATCCTCAGAAGTATGATTTTCCTGTGGAACGTAGATGGATTTAGGCTAAAAAAAGAATAAATCATTATTCTAAGATATCTATGCAATTATTTATTTTAGAACATCTATCATATTACTTTCATCTTAAGCTCTTATACCCTTACACTTTAAACCTAAATCTGTAAAGGCCAGCTGCACTTACTGATAATGAAAGAAAGGAACTCAGTACTTTAAAGCACATTTTCTTTATATCTGTAATGAGAACAGTTTTGTTCTTTTACTTGCTAATGATATAATTTAGTACAACTACTGAGTTGATAATTAGAGAGTAAAATATAGCTTGTTTAGCTTTATGTTGAATTCAAATATGACAAATTCTTATCATAGGTATTTATATCCCTCCTGCCCTCGATGAAGCTATTTTAGTTCCTTAAATCAATCTAATTCCCACTTTGGAAATCAAGGAAAACCTATAAATAATCTGGGAGGAAAGAAAAGAAAGAATTTCTTCCTGGTCCAGTAATCCACTACTTAGATCTGTCCCCATGCACTGGGCCTTCCAAAAAGGCCTGAAAACCTAGCTTGTCGATTGGCTTGAAACCCCAATGAGGGCATCCCACTCTTGAGGTGGTTAGTATATTAAGAAAAACCCATCTCCACCTCATTTCTACAATGCTGTAAGAAACCTAGGACTGGAACAACTAGTAACCAACAATACTAGACTTAACAACTGCCTCGATCTCATCTTCTGCAATAGTTTGAATTCAATTTACGGAATACAAATTAAAGAACCCTTTTCCAACAGTGACCACAGCATGATTGACTTTTGTCTCAACATACGTCCACACAAAAATCAACACAATGATGTGATCCCTAATTATAACTTCAAAAAAGGCAACTATGATCTTATAAACAACGATCTCTCATCCCTTGATTGGCAATTTCTATTCACTGGATGCAATACTGTTGAAGACCATTACAACATATTTTTACTTGAAGTCAAAAGAGTCATCAAACTATATGTACCAATAACAACTCCAAAAACCAGAAAAAACAGATTACCCATAACAATAAGGAGGCTTCAATCCAAAAAGAGATTGAAAAACAAATCTGGTCATGTTGCCAACTTCAAAAGCCAATACAAAAATTTATGCCAACAGATAAAGACTGAATGCACCAATTATCACATTAAACCAGAGGAAAACCTTCTACGCACCAATTCCACCCGCGCTTTCTACAATTTTGTAAACAACAAACTAAAAGACTCAAGGTCCATCCCACCCCTGAAAGGACCTAATGGTAAAGACTGCAACAACAACACTATTAAAGCCAACCTCTTTAACACATTTTTTGGCTCAGTATTTGTAAACAGCAATGGATCATGCCCAGTATTTCCTAGTCGAACCACAGACAACTACAATGATCTAATACGTATCGATTTTACAGAAGACAATGTTGAAAAAGCACTACGCAATCTAAAACCATCTCTATCTATTGGACCAGACGGAATATGTGCCTACTTCTTAAAAAAACTATCCACTGCCATAGCCGAAACTCTAAGCATAGTCTTTGAAAAATCTTTCAGGACCAGCTCCTTGCCAAAACTATGGTCACAAGCCACGGTCATCCCCATCTTCAAAAAGGGAGACCCCAGCCTAGTTGAAAATTACAAACCAATCTCTTTATGCTACGTCACCTGTAAAGTCATGGAATCAATTATTAACCAATCCATCCTCCTCCACTTAGAAACAAACAACCTACTCTCTAATAAACAATTTGGTTTCAGGAAAAACTATCCTGCAATCTGCAACTCTTACACTGCAAAAACATATGGACTACACAATTCGATCAGGACAAAGCAAGAGATGCAATCTACATAGACTTCTGTAAAGCCTTTGATTCAGTGGTACACGACAAACTACTCCTAAAACTAAAATCTTATGGTATCTCTGGACACCTGCATAACTAGATAGGAGCATTCCTGTCAAACAGACAACAAATGGTCAAAATTGGGAGTGTCCTATCAAATTCTGTACCTGTCAACAGTGGTGTCCCCCAAGGCAGTGTTCTAGGACCAACTCTCTTCATACTCTACATAAATGACCTCTGTGATCATATTAAGAGCAACTGCGTCCTCTTTGCTGACGATGTGAAGCCATTCAAAACAACAGACAACTGCTACCCTTCAAAAAGACCTTGACTATGTATCAGAATGGTCAAACAAATGGCAACTTCAAATCTCAACAATTAAATGCTCTGTCTTACATATTGGCAAAAAAAAATCAGAAAATAAAATACAGGCTGAATAGTCAAGACCTTGTTGATGATCCAAACTCTGTAAAGGACCTTGGAATACTCATCTCTAATGATCTAAGTGCTAGAGCCCACTGTAACTACATAGCCAAAAAGGCATTAAGAGCTGTTAACCTAATCTTACGTAGCTTTTTCTCTGGTAATATTACACTACTAACTAGAGCATACAAAACATTTGCTAGACCAATACTCAAATACAGCTCATCACTCTGGAACCCACATTACGTATCTAATATTAACACAGTTGAGAAAGTCCAGAAATATTTCACAAGAAGAGTTCTCCACTCCTCTACTCGTTGCAGAATACCTTATGCCACCAGACTCGAAATTCTAGACCTAGAAAACCTAGAACTACGCCGCCTTCGGTCCGATCTAAGTATAGTATATAAAATCATACAATGCAATGTCCTACCTGTCAATGAATACTTCAGCTTCAACCATAACAATATAAGAGTAAACAACAGATACAAACTCAAGGTAAACCGCACCAAACTTGATTGCAGGAAATACGACTTCAGCAACAGAGTGGTCAATGTCTGGAATACTCTACCTCAGGGATCCCCAACCTTTTCGACGCCGCGGCCCGGTTCCGACATCAGCTGGGCGCCGCGGCCCGGTACCGGCGTCAACTGGGCGCCGCCATCTTTTTATGACGAAAAGGCGCTTCCGGTGAGCTTTCTACCCGGAAAAGCTCACCGGAAGCGCTGGCGCCGCCATCTTTTTATGACGAAACAGCGCTTTTCTACCCGGAAAAGCTCACCAGAAGCGCTTTTTTACCAAAAAAAAGATGGCGGCGCCCAGCAACCAGCGGCCCGGTAAGGCTTGTTCCACGGCCCGGTACCGGTCCGCGGACCGGCGGTTGGGGACCCCTGCTCTACCTGACTCTGTGATTTCTTCCCCAAACCCCAAAAACTTTAACCTTAGACTGTCTACTATTGACCTCACCCCTTTCCTAAGAGGTCTGTAGGGGGCGTGCATAAGCGCACCAACATGCCTACCATCCCTGTCCTATTGTTTCTTTTATTTTTCTTATATGTATCCATGTATTCATAACTATGTTTTTACTTATACCTATTATCTTGTAAGCAATTGACAAACCAAATAAATAAATAAAATAAATAAATAAATTTATGCATTGGTTCCTTTCTTATCTATTTTTCTTTTGTAACTTTTAAAATAAATAAATAAATTTATGCATTGGTTCCTTTCTTATCTATTTTTCTTTTGTAACTTTTAATGTTTTTTTTAAATGTTTGAACATTCTAATTATTATTTTTATATAATTTTAATTTTATTTATATAATTATATATTTATAACTATAATTTTATATTGCTGTTTTATAAAGTCACCCAAAGTCACTCCACAATGAAATGAGTGGCATATAAATTTATTAAATAAAAATAATATTCCCTTCTGGTAGAAAGCGAGAACCTTCTTACCTTTGGTGGCAAAGGAGGTGGCACCTTTGCTTTCATGGTTGAACTGTGAAAAGAAAACTAAGTATTAATTATAAAAAGTAAGAATTCAGTATTTTAAAATATTCTAAACAGTGCCATGTATTCCAAAAGCTGTAGTTCACTTTATTATAGCTTGTAAATCTCCAAAGATTTGAGAACAATTTAGCATGCATTTACTTGAGCAGAATTTACCGACTCATGTATATTACATGTAAATAAAAATAAAAATCCCTATCATCCCCGTCCACAATTGAAAACACAATGACAATGATAAATAACATTCAGAAACAAGGAGAAATGCTTTGAATGGGACAACCCACATGCTACATGCACCTTCCAGGAACCCTGCAACTGGCTGATTATGTGATATGATGTCAGTGTTGACTATTAATAATCACATATAGAGCAGAGGTGGTATTCAGCAGGTTCTGACCAGTTCTGGAGAACCGGTAGCGGAAATTTTGAGTAGTTCAGAGAACTGGCAAATACCTCCTCTGACTGGAGATTTTACAGTATCCTTCCCCTGCCACGCCCACCAAGCCATGCCCACAGAACCGGTAGTAAAATTTTTTGAATCCCACTGCTGATATAGAGTCTCCAGAACACCAGGATGCTATTGAAATCAGGTAGTAATTTCAATTGTGGAATTTTTCATGCTTTTCCCCCCAAGGGTCACTCTCCAATTTCATTCTTAAAATTCTTTCCAAATCACAAAAGCAACCTGAAATTGGTCAGAATAATACTGGGGTTTTTTGGGGGGAGGGGGGATACAAATGGGAACAGTTTACCTCCCAATGACCTTTGGTTCCCACTGTCACCATTAATGGAGAATATTTTCCCCTAATCCTTTCAGGATGAGTTACAGCCCCAACTCCTCAAGCAATGCTCATCTTTCAGTTATATTGAACAAATGAATTAGTTCGCCACATCAAGATTTTTCTCTAAATCAAGATTTTCAGAATAAAGAAAATATGCTTCTCCTTCTGTATAGTATTTATTTATTAAGGAAAGTACTTTTCAAATTACATCACAGGTAACCATAATCAATTATCTAAAGGAAATAAGGGCTGAGCTTTCACTGGTGACAGAATACAAAAGTGAAGTTTTTGATATCTAAGCCAATCTTTACAACATGATACCCTGCAGATATGGCAGGCTAGAAACTCACCATCCATAACCAGCAATGGACGATCACATTAAAGTATAAAATATGAAAACTCATGAAGAGGAAACAATTATGGCTAATTAATTTAACAACGGTTTTCTAAAGCTATATCAGTGTAACTTACTGTTTGGAATCATCACTGTCCACTTCATCTTCATCTTCTAGATGTGCTACATGTCCCCTAAAGAATTAAACAGATAGCACAGCTAAACAGAATAGTCAATTATCAATGTGTTCTTTGTAATCCTGTTTCTTTGAAAGAATAAATTACAGCTGCAACTCAGACAAGCAAAGGACTTCTACAAGAATTTGACAAGAATATAGCTCATAAGCATTTGACAGAGATAGGAGACACATGCATACTTCTTTGCACAAGAGAAAGGATTTTGCAATCATGAAGAAAAGAAATGTAACAATTACCGCTGATGTAGTTCTTCTTCAACTGATTTTAGAAGGCTCCTTTAAAAATAGAAGTAAAATTCAAGGACAAGACACATTTAGCAAAGCACATAAAATCAGACATATTTGTAAATGATTTCACATATTAAAGCCATGCAATAAGTTATATCAAGTATTAGAGATAATACCTAAAAGCTGAATTGCAATCTGAGGCAAATGATTTTTCAGCTAATTAGATTTCTATTCAAGTGTATGTTTATGAGCTAATTATTGCACTTGACAATCAACTCTATGTAGGACAGGAGGAATACAGCTCATTTTTATATATAGTTATAATATTTTTTTAAATTTTTTTAAAAAGCAGAAGAAAAGCCATCCTCAAATAATATAATGCAATGCCATAAGAAAATAGTTTGGCAATATCTTGGATGATCAAGAAAGAAATTTAGGTGCATTAAAGTACATGTGTAGAAAATAATATGTTACAATGGCTCCTTTTTCTTATTCTGGAATCAATAAATGTTCAATTAAAATAGTTTTACAAGTTGATTAACATATAGTATGCACATATAAACAGACAGGTACATTTTAGGACACAGATGGATACAAGGAAGCTACATTTCTATATGGAAAAGAAAAAAATTCCTTAGCTACATATATAAGCACAACAAATAGTGTCCTCTAGATGTATTAGACAATAAGATCCATTGGACATGCAAACTGTAGATAATAGTGGTTGTAGCTCCAATCACTCTGGAAGATCAATTTTGGGAGAAAAGCTAATGGTTTTAAAACATCTACTGGATTCATTTAAATTTCACTGGTGTCATTATATAAATGCTATATTCTCGAAGAAGTAAATCAATTAATATTAACATTATTTTTAATGACTCTGTTTTTTATCAGTATTCAATTTATTTTGTTTTATATTTGACATTTTTGTTTTTATAACTACCTTCAGTATTGGAATAAACAAACAGCATTAAATAAAAAATAAATCACAACATTAACATTATTTCTAAAGTATACTCACTTATTTGCACCCAAGAAGTAACTGCCTTGAGGACCATGACCATATTCTAGCTGCAAATCCTATTGAGAGAAAACAATAATTACAAAAAAGAACAATTGGGTCATGTTATCTTGCGGCCTTCCCTTTTTCCAAATTACAACATAGGCTTTGCTACAGTTGTTCTTATATTCAACTCAAATAATTACTGTCAACCCTTTCTGCAGTAAAGAGTTGCATTATTATATGAAACAAGATATGTAATTCCAGGATAGACTGGTGCCCTATTTTGGTTTAATGATTTCTTCTTTCTATTGTGATCTTTATACCATATTCCATTATTGCTTAGACCAAAGTTTCTCAACTTCAGATTGAGAAACATGGTTTAGAGGAATTTCCAATAACTAGAAACAAACATTATAGAAGTTGAGAAGTTAAAGCAAGGATTATATGCCATCAAGTTGACTTCTACGGTAACTACATAGATATTCTCCATGAAGTAACTATTTAAAAATAAGGATACTATGATCAGCTCACATTGCCCATATCTTTTCTGTTTTGAATAATTCCATATAAACACCTAAATTTTTTTTCTATAGGAACCATGAAGGCCTTCGTCATAGAAAGCAATAGCTCTATCATATGCCTGCATTTTCTTTCTGAAAAATGAATACTGTTGCATGGTATATACTATCCACCTTGGGAAGCATCCCAAGCAAATGTAGACAATTAGCCATCAGAGAAATAGGATGTATGAAATTGTAATATTTGAATGCTACATAATTATGTACATTATTGAGTATGGATTTTTTTTCTTCTCTTTCTCCTTCCCCAGGCCTAATATTTTCTTATATTTAAACACATGCCTTGGGTAGTGCAAAATATAGTGGTTTTGAGTTTTTCTTTTTTCTTGAAATTTTTGGATGTTATTGGTCATAGAACATAATATATACTGATAGATTGAATGGTTATTATAATGCTCAGCTCAAATATAATTTATGGCATATTCAGTTCCTTTTTAAATTTTGCCAGTTAACAAAAATGTGAAATAGTGAACGCTCTCTCACTGAAACCCCAAATTTTTGTATTAAAAACAAGAAAGAACAGACCATAGTTTTGGACACCACCACCAAACAATAAATATGTAGGCTATATTAGCAAAATTAGAAGATCAGGACAGAATACCTCTTCTCTTATGTATTTGCTCTTTCTTATGTACCAGTAATCTCCAACCTTTCTGGCCGGGCGGACTGTCTGAAGCGGCAGTGGGGAGGGGAGACGGGGATGGTTTGGTGCGCTTTAACAAATGCAGGTGTGCGCGCACACAAACACTACTTCTGCAGGCTGGTTCTGAAAGGGCTGCGGACCAGGGGTGGTTATATACTATTACTATATGTCCAATCCAGATTAATACCTCACAAAATGTCAAAATATTCAGATATGGTTTCTCTATTCAGAAAACACCTGCTAAGTAAAGCAGTCCTATCTCACTAAATCAGATTTAATTGATGAATTTTTTGGTCTGTTCCAGCTTAATGAGTGTCTGCAATTTAAAGGAAAGCACTTGAACCTTAGATTTATAACATCAAGAATTGGAATAGCCCCATTAAATCACTGGGTTCACTTGCTACAAAGCAACCATTGCTCTTATGCCCAGACAGAATGAACAAGTTATTGATGTTCTCAAATAATTCTAAGCAATAATTAAGCACTTTTTATCCAAGTTAATAATACTATCTTATCTTCTGATAGTTCTGCAAAAATATGTTGCAAATCTCTATATTAAGATATTTGCAATAAAAGTTTGCACACACTAAAGAATCTAGGTGTTTTATTTTTTATCATAAAATGTAAGGGTTGGAAAAAACCTTAAAATAGTTTAATCCAACTGTGTACTCTTAAATTAAAGATGATGAAGAAAGCCACAATATAGTTTTAAGCATACAACTGTTGTATTCTAGCATGTCAGGAATTACTTTGAAGTACTGAACCTCATTGATAGACAACCAAAAGGACTGTTGAAAGCTAGAAACATTGGGGAATTCTGTTCTAGCACTAGAATATGAAATTATATCAACATTCTGTTCATTACTAGGTCGGAAGACTTAAGGAACTGATGAAATATTCAGATAAATATAGCAAACAACAGAAGAAGAATCAGTAAAGGATCTAGCCAAACTATGCCAGAAAATGTGAAACACAGCACAGTGTCCAACAGACTGGAAGAGATCAATCTATGTTCCAATAGCAAAAGATCCAAAGTTTAAAAAGTGTGCAAATATTGTACAATATCTTTAATTTTATATTCTTGCAAAATAATGTTTAGGACCATCCAATGCAGATTAGAGCCCTATATATTAAAAAATGAATGCCGGATCTTCAAACATAGAAAAGGGTGAGGAACCGAGGACATTGTAACTGATGCACGCTGGATAGTTTAGAAAATCAAAGAATATCAAGAGGAAATTACTATGTGGTTCATTGATAAAACGCCTTTGATTGTATTGATCATGTCAATTGCTCAGAAAAATGGCAATCTCAGAATATCTCACTGTGTTTGTGTTGATAAAGTTATATACAAGTTAGAAACCCACATTATAGCCAGAACATGGCAAAACAGATTGGCAAGGAGTATGACAAGGCTTTGTTCTCTCTCTTATTTATTCAATTTATATGCTGAATATATATTAAGGAAGACTGGATTGGAAGATGAGAATGGTTTTGAAATTGGAGGAAGAAACATCAATAATTGTTCTAGGCTGGTGACTACCACTATGATATCTGAAATAGCAGTGGCAGGTCCTAGTAATAAAAGCTAAGGAACATAAAAAAATGAGTCAAATATTACATATAAAAAAGACCTAACTGATAACAATAGGTAGACAACTAGCCTTAGAACGGACAATGATGGTATCAAAGTGGATATTTATTTATTTAGCATATAGTGTATCATACATGGACTAGCAATATAAATATTTCCTTTTAGGATCAACCATCATCAGTAAAGTAAATATCGAGATATTTTAACACTTGATACAACAATCATGAAGACCTAGAAAAAAAAATGTAATGAGGTCTCTATATTGACAAAAATCAAAATAATGCAAGCAATACTAATTCCCGTGATGCTCTATGGAAGCAAAAGTTAGACTTGGAAGTAGCATTTGAACTTTGATGTTAGAAAAATTGAGAGAAGTTATGTAATTTCTCAAACTAACTTCTTTTAAACAGAAATGTATTTTCTGCAAATGTCATGAAGCTGAAATGTTATATACATGTCATGTTCTAGAATTCCTTCTTTTTATCTATTTATTATGAAAATTATTTGCTGCCCATCTTGTGTCTTACAACATAAAAACATTAAAGTCATCAATTATAAAACAACACAGCAGATAAATTCATTAATACAAAATGGCAAATGAGGGAACTGGACACATGGGGAGGGGAGGTGGAATTAGATTTTAATTAGTCAACCACCTACAATGTGAAGCTCCCACATAGGATCCTGAAACCATCTGTCAGAGCGAGGTCTTAAGGCTCTTATGAAATATTTGGAGGGTGGGAGCCAATCTTACCTCAGGGAGGAGGATATTCTAGAGGGCAGGAGCCATGGCAGAGAAGGCTGTACTGGATCCCTCCAACCAAAATTTATTGGCTGACTGGATTTTATGTAACCATTTACCAGAGTTATTTAAATGCTTTTTTTCTTCTGTTCAATCATGTCTGATTCTCAAAGACTGCCTAGGTAAGTCCCTGCAGTTTTCTTGGAAATATTTTTTTAGAATTGGTTTGGGACTGCCTCCTTACTAGGGCTGATAGAAAGTGACTATCCCAACATCATGCATCAGGCTTTGTGCCTGAGGCAGAACTAGAAACTCATGTCTTAATCACTACACAAAACAGACTCTCATTTAAATGCTAAAATATAATATTTTTCTATTATTTCAAATTGGTTTATCTTAATATATGAGATCATACAGCCCATTATATAAAAATCAATATTGTTACACTTTATATGTATACTTTTATTGTTGAACTGTTTAATGAAGTTAACTACAAATGATGAAAGCAACACAAGAACTGGCCAAAGTATTTCATCTTAAAAAACAACACACACACACATTGACAAAGAAAAAGCAATAGATGAAAATACCAGATTAGATCTTGCAGTGTAGTATATTTCTTCTGAACTGTCCAAAAAATCGTTACTGTCAGGCTGTTTATCAGATAAAACCAGAAACTCAAGTTAATTACTTCTAGACTAAAAGAAATCCAAGTATAAAGGGATATTTTGTATAATAACAGACTTACTATTTAGTAGAGTTTTTAGAAGTCTACACAAATAATAGTTGGGTAAGTGTAATATCGAAATAGTTATCATTTAAAACAAATGTAACAGCAGTTGAAAAGGATGTCATTTCATTTTTATCTTTTCCCTCCCTCTGTTCTTCCTTCCTTCACCTCCCTTCCCCAAATTTAAAAATAGAAGTTCACTCAATAAAACAGATGTGATCCTCACATTTAATTATCCAAATATGCATGACTACAAAAAGCTATTGAATGAAAATAAGAAAACTGTTTAAGACCAAACCTGAAGCTAGAGTTTCTTGGGAATTTAAACTAAGTAAAATAAAAATATTAAATTAGCAATGGCCAACTACTGAATTAATAATCTAGTTGAATTATATAACCGTAAACATGTGTCATTTATTGGAAGCTGATTCATATACTCTACCTGAAGTTAAGTCCTTCCCCAAATAACTTCCATGTAAATTAGAGGGTTATCATAAATTTGTTAATAACTTGGTAGATTGTTAACATCTAATCTTCCTTTCAAATGTAAAAATCATGTCTGTCTTTTTTTTAAAGAATTACACCTTTAATTACAGGAGCAGAAAAAAGTGGCTTGTTTTTCCTTAAACAGTTTTTTCCTTAATACAGGGAGAAATTAGCAAGCACTATAAATAGATATAGAAAATAAAATAGTTTCTATTTAGGTTCAATACCAATTCTGAATGTCCCAAGCTACTCTTCAGACTGAGAAATTGTTGAAGGTATCCAATTTTATGTAACATTTATTGCTATAACTGGGTTGTATACTAAAAAGATGGAGAGCTGTTTTATGAGAGTTCTGACATCGACGAAAGTGAGATTGCAGATAACACTATGCAGAGATTGTGACCACCGTCACACTTACTAAAAGCAAGAAATATATATTGGTTTAGATAAGTACAGTACTTCAGTATTTGCTTTAAGTGACTGATTTTGGATAGTTCCAAAAGTATCAGCTTTCATATTGCTCAAGAGAATAAAAATTAATGGGAAAAAATCAGAACAAATTAATTGCTTGGAAAATAATAATGAAATGCTGAAATGTAAAAATGATGCTAATCTATGTCAATCAGATGAAGGTTGTACACAGGAAAAATATTAATTGATAAGCTGTACAGTGTATAATCCAGTTTAAAAACCATTTGTATATACTCATAGCAATAATTATCTGTACAGGAACCTTGCATTATAAAATAGGACTCCTGACTGATTTTGCTTATCAGAGACTAAAACAAAATATTAGCAGAAGCAATGTGACAGATGAAAAAGTATGTCTAAGGTAGATGAGAATGATTTCTCAATGAATTTTAATTTAAAATCAGTAAAGCTGCATGAAATAAAATATCTAGGAAGGATATAAACAAATCCAGAACGGACAGTATTGGTGGATAAATTCCAACTATTCCCTTCAAGATAAAGCTCTGAACTACAAGAACAGAAAGAACCTTGCATTAATTAAAATCCACTGATATAATAATCTGGATGGAGTAAATTGCTTAAATTAACATACACCAACTGCTATTACTGCTTAAAATTGTCAGCAAACTAGGAGTTTGTCACTTATTTTAGGATATCCCATTTTCCTTTTTGTCACAATTCTAGGCCTGGGTATTATCAGATAAGGAGCCTCCAGCAAGAATTTTTCCACCATCTTTATTCTGCACCATCTATCCACTATTCATTGGAGAATATATATCAAAATTCTAAGAATCTCTGGTGGGGATGGGAAATACTTTAAACTGAAATCCTAAGCAGTCATACTATTTAAAAGCCAAATGTAGTGCTGATGAATCTTTGGCTCTGGATGGTCAAGCTTTGCCTCTCATTTCTTCCTAAAATTATCTTACTCTGCCCATCCTCAGCTGGCAGCATTTTGCAATTTAAATGGGAAAGAAAATGTGCTAAGATCTGTGTTTCCACATGCTATTATCCTACTTGCAATTATGTACCAGAACCTTTGAAAGGCTACAGGGCTGCTTGATCACATATGACTAAATAGGAAAGGATGTTTAGGCAACATCCTATCACTATAAGACTGTGAACAAAAAGGGAAAAATTAAACTAGATACTAATTGTTAAAGAATGGAAACATTACTAATTTTATTGTCTCGCTCTGTTTGCATAACATTCAATTAGCAAATGGAAATTTTCTAAATTAAATATGACAGTAATTTACTATCTTTTCTTTTAGTACATAACATAAAGTAAAACATAACAGTATCTATATAATAACCAAAGATCCTGATAACTCAGAGGAAGATGAAGGATTAGATGAATATAGTGCTTCACAAAAAGCTGTTTTAGCAAGCAGGTTTTTCCTAAGCCTCAGTCAATCTCATTTTAGCAATACATCAAGCTAAAATGTACACCAAAGCAAATAGAAAATAAATTGACACAAGCTAAGAGACATCTATCTTCTGATGCAAGAAATCTTTTGTCCTGAGAGATAATTACAAAGGGTAATTTAAAAAGAGATAAATAGATATAGAGAAATTGAATATGACGGGATACTGATTAAGTTAGTGTAGCAATTCCTCATAGCTGATTTCATTTGTTCCTTCCTTCCCTCCCTCCCTCCTGCCACAAAAAGAAATGACTCTACATAGTTTAGAACAGTGATCCCCAACCTTTCTTATGCCGCGGCCCGGTATCCCCAACCTTTTTTATGGTGCGGCCCGGTACCGGCATTAGCTGGGCGCCGCCATCTTTTTTTGATGAAAAAGTGCTTCCGGTGACCTCACCGGAAGCACTTTTTCATCTAAAAAAGATGGCGGCGCCAGCGCTTCCGGTGAGCTTTTCCGGGTAGAAATGGCTTTCTACCCGGAAAAGCTCACCGGAAGCACTTTTTCATCAAAAAAAGATGGCGGCGCCCAGCAAACCAGTGGCCCGGTAGGACTTGTTCCACGGCCCGGTACCGGTTCGCAGACCGGTGGTTGGGGACCCCTGGTTTAGAAGATATAGTTTACAATATGGAAAGTTTGTATGCTTTTCCCAGAATTATTTCAATCTTCCTAGAAGTTTGCACTTCCAGTTGTAACAGTTGCCATACACCAAATCCCGTCCTCCATCCACCTACCTCCTATACAAAATAAAGCTTCAACTTTACAGATGGCAAAGGAGAAATATTCAATAATGAAAAAACAAGATACAGGTTAACTCCTCTTTGAGGGTAAATGTTCGTTCGCCGAGCTTGTGGGTAGGTTTCCGAATGTTCTTTTTTAACTCCTCTTTACTAACTTAAAACCTATAAAGTGAACAGAATATTTATATTGTGTTCTAGCAGTCTTGATAGATGCTATTAAATAATTTAAGACACCTTAATTATGATAATGGCACCTGTTTTTACTGTATTCTATACTAAAGCAATTGAAAGAAGTAGAGACAAGAATGGGATAGCTGTGGAAATTGCCCTTTTGAGTGGCGATACTTATAGCCATTGCTGATTAAAATTTAAAATTCTCAGACTATACATAAATTCCTCAGATAATTTCTTAATATAGTGAACAAACTACAAATATATCCTATAGTGAACAAAGTGCATAGTTTATAGATTTCACCATTCACATATTTTAGAGAAGAAATCTAATATGGTTATGTTACTTACGAACTCATGATGTGGCTCCGTCTCCTTTCTTAAAGGAGGATCAAATTTTACTTGACCAACTATTAAAAAGAATAAGTGATAAGAAATGGTTATATTTTCTCCCACTGATTTTCCAAATTATTGTATTATTATTCACTAAGAAACACAGGAAAAAAACCCAAGAACAAAAACAAAATAGAAGCCCAGATGAGTTATCTTGACTATAAATAACAACAAAAACTCAAAGCTATAGATAATTAATGAAGCCTGGTTGAAAAAACTGTGAGACTCACATCCTTTCTTCCCCATCAGCATATAAACAAATAAAAGTATCTCCTTAGTTAGCTCTACCACTGCACAAACTCAATAGGAAATGACTACTGCCTTTTACCTAAGAAGGTGATTGATGGGAAAAACCCATGCCCGTAACAGACAGGAGGGAAGCAAGATTTAATATACTTGCTTAGGGAGTAAATCACACAATTCAGCAGTTCTTACTACAGAATAACATACATTTGATTGTGTTGTAAAGAAAGTCCAAATAGATCTTTGAAATACCACTAAACTTAATTTTTCTGCTCCCTTTTTCTTGTTCAGTGTAATGTTATATGGGAATGATTTGGGAGACAAGCGGAAGAGCTGAAGACTAGTTAACGTTCAGACAAGCAACACCTGAGTCTACAGAAGGAATGAAGGTGTGGCAAACTCTCACAAGGTTTCTTGAACTATAAAGGTGAATGGGAATATACTTTGAGACTAGGAAGATTTTGTTACCGTAGTATTGGAATAAAGTAAGAACTAGTATCGTACTTCTGGGTGTGCTTCTTTTCTGGACTACCTCACAAGTTTGGCACTCACTGTTTGCGTTTCAATATTAAACTAATAAGCAATTGGGCTATAGGATGCCTAATCAAAAAGAGATGGCAAATATCCCACATGAATTAGGCGTGCAGATATGAATAGTTTATTCAGGTTAGTTTATAATGAGTGACAACTTACAGTTTATTTCAGAGCGCGTTTTTTCTTCTCTCACATTTCTACTTGTTGAGTGAATTCTATGAGGTACAAGAGGCTGGGAAAAATATTATATTAAATATTCATTAAATATGAACAAAATTTTCCCCACTTTAAAAATCACAGTGCAAGATATTTTTGTGATCCACTGAAACTTGAATTTAAAATCAGTTTCAAACAACGACATTTCCTGGGAAGGAAGAAATAATTTTGATTTTCAAATTAACTGCTCCAAAATTTTCATTAATTCCCAGTAGAAAGTCACACTTGGTTTAAAAATTTTACTACCTTATATAATAAACATTATCTACTGAGATGTATTTGGCAAAGACATAATTCTTACACCTCTATCCAAATTCAAGGAAGGCCTTAGGCAAGACTTTTCAAGGGGAAGATGCTATCTTTGATTTAAAAAAAACAACTATCCTTTATTAGGAAAGCATCTTTTCCATTGTTTCTAATCTACCATCAGAACTCTCTGGACAAGTTAATTAAATTAACTGCATGAAAAATGAAAACAAGCAGTTGGGCACTTTGGACAATAATAATAATTTAAGCATTATTTACATTTTGTCATGCAAAACACAATGTATACATATACAGGACATGAATCAAGCAATAGCTTTTAATTTACTGGAAAAAAAACTATAAACACTGTGGTTGTTATGCTGGATTAGACCACTTCTGGTATTCTCAATGGCTACTGCATGTCTATGTACTTCCACAGAACCTACTGGATCTTTGTGATAAGGACAAAAGAGACTATCCTAATTATTAGATTTGTTTTTGGAGATTTTACTCTTGAATTCAGCATTAAACACAGATTAAGGAGCATAGTATTTTTTCAAACTTCTTTTTTCCTAACAGGAATCCAGTTTCATTATTAATTCTGCATTTACTAACAGATTTTCCACTAAAGAAGGATGCATAGCATCAAACAGAAATATGCACATAGTTTTAAAATAACCTTCTTGGCCGAAGATGATTTGACTATAGTCCAATCTACATAGATTGTGCTAACTTAAAAGTTATGTTAAATATCACATGGATGTAAGTATGAGGACAGGAAATCTGGTGCCCTTCAGATATATTGTATTATAATTCCCACTACTGGCAATGCACCCCAATATGGGTTTATAGCCAAAAGCATTAGAAATATGCTTTGTAATCGGGGTGGGGTGAGGTGTTGGGGATTATTATTTTATTATTTTTATTTATTTTATATTGTGTTTTTATTTCCTGTAAGCTGCCTTGAGTCACCGTGAGCAAGTAGGCAGCAATATAAATTTTCCAAATTAAATAAAATATGGTAATTTAAACTTACTGAAGAACTAGCCTACTTTGTGTGCCTGCTGTAAAATAGTATGTTTTAAGTACTTATATCAGATTGGTTATATAGCCAAATGTTTAATTATCAAAGCTATATTTAAATGATATTCTTACCTCAGGATCATCATCATCAAAATCATGATAGGTGGAATGATCAGGATTATTCATTTTATCCAATAGTTCGATAGCAAGAGTCCGGCTTAAAGGCTGGGTAATAAAAGGGTGCTTAAAATACAAAATGCAATAGGTAAGTATATGAAAGATACTTGCCTGATAACTTGAACGTTGTAATTTTATTTATTAAATTTATATGTTGCCCCTTTCAATGTTGAGCTACTTTGGGTGGCTTACAACATCATAAAAATATGAAAAGCATTAAAGAAAAATTAACCTTAACCCTTAATATGAATAGACTTCTCAAAACATTCTGGATGAATTCTAAATACCCAACAGAGATATTTCAATACTTTCCATGCTCTGCAAGAAGCTACCCCACTTTTCCATATTTTTAAATTATGCAGAGGATAAGACTAAGGTACCTGACCATATGGTAATCACAGGAAATCTATTAAAATTATCATTGGCAGGGGAGACTTTACAAACATTGTAAGAAAAGGAAAGAGCAGGTTAATACTATCCAAGCTGAGGAGTAGTTGTAGTCAAACCAAGTTCAAATGATAGCACATATGGCTCCCTAGCTTATAGATCCTGTTTTTTAATGCCCGGTTGGTTGTTGGTTAAAGATATATCATTCAGGACCAAGCACGTATCACAGAGAGCTGATTTTGGATAAAGGGATTCTGCTGGTATATCACCTATTCTACTACCTAGCAGTATCTACACTGACCTAAAATCTAACAAGGAAAATCCATTCAACTAACCAGAAAAATAAGCAGCCCCAACTAATGTGTCTAAATTAGATGCTGAATTTTTCCAGCACTTCCTACTGAAAGCTTTCTTCACACAATAAAAGTGGATATAAATAATTTTAAAACAGTTTGGAAAAGGATAGAAAAGTCATTTATACCTGTAATAGTTTTTCAGCTGTAGGCCTTTTTTTAGGATTCTTTGTAAGTGCCATTTTGACAAAATGATGAAAGCTATTTGACCTGTAACACAAAATTATAGTTTTTAGGAAGATAGTTAATGTTCACAGTAACTAATACAATGCAACTATATTGCTGTAATATTTACCATTTCATTTTGTCCTTTAGTTTGGGAGGCTGAAAATTGCTTTTTGACATTAAAAACAATGCTCTGAAAAAGAAGAAAAGGGATTACTTCTACAAAATTCCTGCCACAAGTTGACTTGCATGTAGAGAAGCAACACTGTGTTTGCCTTTACCAAGAAAAAGATAATTCTCAATGGACAGATGATCTAATCCAGCGTTCTACAACCTTTCTGGGTTGGGGACCTGGTGCGTGGGGAGAGAGGGGATGGTTTTATGTGAGGGGCAGGCATGTGCACATAACTTCAATTGCTGCTCACATGAGTGGAGTGACGAGCGCCAACTGCTTAAGTGTGGCAGTGTGCACATGCATGCTCACCTCCCGTTGGTGTGGCCCAGTTCCAAGGATAGTGGATTAAGACCTCTGATCTAATCCATTACCATTTCTAGTCCAGGCTTTTATGGACTCTAAATATGTAAGCCAGTGGTGGGATTCAAAAAGTTTTACCACCAGTTCGGTGGGCATGGCTTGGTGGGTGCGCTTTGTGTGTACGCATGCACCAAATGCGCACTTTGTGCAGGCACAGAGGCATTCCAATTCACCTCCTGCAAACCTGCACTCTCCTGGTTGCTTCAGCAGTTGCCGTGCGGCACTCTGCTGTGCCGCGCAAAGAGCTGTGCTTCAAAAGCAGAGGATAAATATGAGTATGGGAGCCCAGGTGGGCAGGTGGGCCCAACAGCAGAGCGGCAGAGAGAACCGGTTCGGTCTCTGCTACTCATTGCTGCTACTGAACAGAACCGGGCCGAACTGGTAGAATACCACCACTGGTCTGATCTTCATTTTTCCTTCTGTCTGGGGACCTCAGAAATATTTAATGATATCATAATATGTACCAGATGACTAAGGCCAAACATTTCAGCCATTATAAAGCAATTTCTAAATTGTAGTGTTTTCAAGCCAGAAATTCAAGTAACTTGCCTCTATGAAAGTTAGTCTATGCATTTCCAGCTTTATTGTACTCCCAAATAACATAACTAAAATTTGTGGATTTCATTTTAAATTGTGCTGCTTAGGTTAAAAAGCTGGAGGTTGTCCTTAATATATTTCACATTCTGGCATTATATGTTAAAATACTTTATTACAACCAATACAGTCAAAGATAAACTATCTTTTTAAATTGTCTTTTTTTCTTAGCTGCTATATATTAGGTATTTGAATTCACATCCTTCTGTCTTTTCTGAAACTTGCCTATTCATTTGGTGTTTCTTTCTAGCACTCTTATTTGAACAATCTTGAGCAAAATTTGGCTGTATGACGAATAAATATAGTCAACAGCATTATTTTCAACCTCTAGAACACACCTTCTAGCCAAAAAATTATTAGAGCTTATTATTACTTACTCACTCACCTCATGGGGTGCAAATCAAACATTGGAGGCTGAAGTTCTGCTAGTTCTATAGAAGTAATCCCAACAGCCCAAAGGTCACAAAGTTGATTATATCCACCTTTCCTTTCAACAGCAGCAACCTCAGGAGCCATCCTAAAAAAACAAAACAGAAAAATGGCTTATTCCTAGATTTCAAGACATCATTTCATCCAAACATTTTTCAATCTATTTATGTGGTAGTTAAAAGGGTAATGACTAGCAAAGAGGCTAAGATATATTTCAACTGCTCTTCTATCTCCATGAATCTCAAATCTAGCCGCCAATGTTCCTCCCCATCTTAGAAAAAAGCTTTTCCTTTGCTATATTATTCTTGTTAAAGGTATAAGAATAGACCAGATTAATATTTGATACTGATGTTGTGACTTCACAATTACTGTTAATGATATAAATCTATTTTGCTTCTGAGCAACAGGCTTCTCCAGCTTTGCTCAACATACGGTAGGCTTCCATATAACTCTAGGCACCCATGCAAGGATATTATCACATACAAGTCAATTAACAACATACACAAAAGACATTCAGCATGTCTACCACACAAATGGAAAATGGACTTAGTATTAAATTCCAGGATACCCATGGAAACCTCTCCCGGTACACAGAATGCTTCCATTACTTTGACTTGTAAAATGTTTTAAATGTTATTGTAATTGTAAACAAAATTTAAAAAGAAGCAAAGCAATGCACTAGGTCTCAAGAATTATATTTCTTCCCAATGTTCTAGGCTCTCCCTCATCTCTCTCTATATATATACCATAGGCATTTCTAAAAAAATAAAAAAAAATAATATAGAAGGAAAATGAAAGGTAAATTAAAAATGCAGTAACTGGCTTTATATACTGGCCAACCGGCTCTCCACCGAAAAAAGGATGATAATGAATATCCTGGGCTGGCAGAGATACTGACGAGGAATAACCCTCCAAGTTTGTTTCTAGCAAATTGGTGTTTTGCAACTGTCCAATTTTTAATAATGTAGCATTTGTAATTGGCAATCATTTTACTAATTACTAATTACTAAGCCTTGCTTAGTCATTTTCTTTAATAGGTTTTCAAAATATTAAATGTTCATTAGTTCAAAAATAGGAGATCCTTGGAATAAAAGTAAATTACCAGTATGGAGTTCCAATGAAAGATTTCCTTTTTGCAATTGTAGCTGTTATTTGTGCTGCTACTCCAAAATCAGCTATAAAAGAATATGGAAGATAATAAGTACACATATTTATAATAAACAGAATATTTAAAAACTGAAAGTCTTGGTATAGATAATATTTTTATGAAGTAGCCAAAACAACTTTTGAAAACTTTTGTAATGTTCTTTTCATGTTTCTGTTTCAGCATCATTCATTATCTTCCACAAGATGCAAGTATTTATTAAAGATTGGTTATCCCAGTCTCACATCAGGTCATGTTGTAATGACAAAAGTCCCTCTTTCATTAGATCTTATTTATAATAACTATATTAGGTAATTGTCATTTTAGGTAATTGCATAACTGAAGAAAGAAATCTAATTTGAAATACACAACAGGGACTCAAAACTGCCACATGAAGTTCTCACAAACAATCTTGACGGGAATCTTAAAGTATATTAAATATTAGCCTGCATAAAACTGAACTTATATAGAAGTACTTACCCAACTTCACATGGCCATTATCAGTTAAAAGAATATTTGCTCCCTTAGGGAAAAATGGTAAAAGACATATTTTTAGAATTTGTTTTTTTTAATGTTTATATTTGTATAGGTATCAGTACAAATGTATACTACATGTTATAAACTGTGTAAATCTTCAAAATATTGATGTTAGAAATTATTTTCATTATTATGCTAAACTTATGTAGACAATAGGCAAGACATCTCAAGAAAATGCCAACTAAAGTACCAACTAAACTGCCTATAAATATAGCAGACAAACAAGAACAAATATTTAAAAATGACAGTAAAATAATATTTTTTGTAATTAAGAGAGATATCTTCTGCTTTAGAAGATAAAACTGGAACAAAATAGTGTAAGCATAAAATAGACGTGAAGCTATTTCAGATCTACACAGTGGCGGTAACAATGACAAAATATGTTATTTTTATGTCTTTTATTATATCTGTGGATTCCCACCCCTTGGCTCAGTCCAGACTATCCAGACCTTGTTAGGAAAGAACAAGTAGGTTGATATATTTGCAGTATGCTGCAAGCTTTCTTCAGATAAAATAATAACTCATCTTCACTTGAAATTGAATGACATTTGGGAGAGTTACACAAGGGCATTATTTTGATATTGCAGAATCCAAGGAAATGGATAGAGTCCTCAATAATACAAGTTCCACCATCTGAGGAACAGATTTCGAAGCCATGTTCACCTGGTTTCGAGAGGTGACAAATAAGGAAGGGTGATGTAACAAAAGCCTTGAGTTCGGGGTGCAACTTTTCTTGAACACCCCAACTCTCAATCCAGCCATATTAAACATGCTTTACAAAGGCTCTTCCATTTTGGGGGAAGATTCTGAGGAATCATTTGCAGAGGATCCTAAATGAAGCAGATTATCTAAATCCCCTTCAGTCAGATTACAGACCTGAATATGTGATGGAAACGGCATTGGTCACTGTGGATGACCTTTAAGCCTTTATCCATTTTTAGCTGGTGTACTATTTGCAGCTCTATCTAAACCAGGAAGCCCTGATTATGCTGATTTACAACCACATTATCATGTAGCTCAACTGAGATGTGCTCTATGTGGGGTATCCTTAAAGATAAAAAGTGCCTTCAGGCATATGAACACTAGACAACACCAGATATGTAAGCTTATGTAGTAACAAAGTCAAAAGCAAAACAATGTAATAGAAAACACATTCAAGTCAGAACATTGAACTAAAAGGCAAATTCAATTGAAATCTAAATATTACCTTTGGAAACAATTCATGGTAAGAGTAAGCAGTTTCTGAATGAAATTTATTAGATTTCCTTATTCAAAAGTAAACTGCGAAAAACTAAGGTAGACACTTAACAAAAACTCTACCAGGAGGGACAGAACAGAGATTAAAATAGGATTGTGAACTTTCAATTTCAGAATAAAAAGTATAAAATTGACAAAAGGTACTATAGAAAATGTAACATAGATTAGCTTGTTTACCTAATATCCCAAACACAGAAAAAAGGAATAATATTTTCCAAACTGGACCAATTAAAACAGAGAACTGGTCAAAACTTGGGAAGGGGGAGAACCGACATTTTGCATAACTTGTTCCATGCATATCTTCTTGAATATGGATGTTACAGAACCAAACTTTGTGTTTTTTGCAACAAACAAACGGTGTTGGTTTAATTAACGTGAAATAACTTTAACTTAGTTGGTTCAAAAGAATCAAAGCTCAATTATAATTATTACACAATTTTTTCTTATTTGTAAAAATATATTACTTCAGATAAGTCATTTCATATTGTTGCAATAATAATCTCATGGTCACAGTCTTACTTCATTTTATAAAGTTCAGCTGGGAATTTTATGCACTTTAAAAATAATTTCAACAATAATCCTACCTTTATATCTCTGTGCATTTTTCCTTTACTATGCAGGTAATACAATCCCTATAATTAAAAGAAAAGGAATAAAGTACTTAGAGAAAGATAGGTTTTCTCTGACTGTAAGTTCTATATCGTAAAAAATTAACTAGATTTTTAACAACTGCAAAGGTGTAGTTCTCTTATGTTTGAAATAAATATCACTGCATGACCAATCCATGCTTGAAGAAATGACAGAAGGAAAGATAGAGAACTGTTACAAAACAGCTGACTTTCATCTAAAAAATGTAATCCTTCACAAATGGTTAATATATTTTTATTACTGAAAGGCAAGCATAAGCAATAAGCACACAGCTTCACTGAAGCTTGTCATCTGAAATAGATTGGTGTCAAAAAGAAGCACTACTGTAATCAATTACTGGTCCCTTCTTCTGATAGAAGAACTATACTTCTTCTGTTCAGGATCCGGGTGCCAAGCATTTCTTCTTTTCTTATGAAACCTGCCATATGAGTGAGAAGTCAAACAAAAACCTTTGTAATCATCACAGCGGCTCATTTTGTACCTAAATTTCAAAGGCAAATTCTCTGCACAAGACAGGCTTAGCTCTCTGCAGCTCTGTAAGCCAATGCATACAGATACATAAACACATACCTAAGGGCAAGTGCAGAGGCTGCATTTTGTTTTGGTGGTTAAAGCTCAGCTAAGAAGCATTATTTTAGGGAAATGCATATCTTACAATTGTGCACTCCAATTATTCAACAGAAATGTCTGGTATCTTTTTTCTATCTTAAAAGCCAACAGTATAACAATTTGCTTACCTGCAGTGTCTCTCTGCTTACATAAGCAATCTGCTGTTCTGAAAGTGGTCCAGTCACTAAAAGAGAATCCATCCAAATTAGTTAGAAGATCTACTATAATTCATTGCTTACTTTGAAAAACTCAAAATCTCTTGCTTGCTTTTATGTACATATATTCACTGTTCATACTCTGAACTTTAAATAAACATCACAGAAGAAAACTTTTGTATTCAAGTTTTGCCAGAAACCCAAGAAAAATATAGAATAAAAAATTTCAGCTGAAACTCATATTGATGCCACAAGGATTAAATCTCCTTCTATTGTGCTATTATAAATTAACCCAAGCCTGCTATAATGATGAACTGAGATAGTTTAACTGTAAAAATTATATTTTCACACAGCCATGGTGGCACAGTGGTTAGAGTGCAGTACTGCAGGCTACTTCTGCTGAGAGCTGGCTGCCTGCAATTTGGCAGATCGAATCTCACCAGGCTCAAGGTTGACTCAGCCTTTCATCCATCAGAGGTGGGTAAAATGAGGACCCACCTTGGGGGCAATATGCTGACCCTGTAAACTGCTTAGAGGGCTGTATAAGTACTGTGAAGCGATATATAAGTCTAAGCGCTATTGCTATATTTGTAAGATAAATTATGTGCAATGTTTGAACTGCCATCTATTTTCTACACCTGGACTATTGCAATGTACTCTATATGGGGCATCCTTGAAGAGTATCTGGAAGCTTCAGTGCAGAACACAGCTGAGCAGGGCAGTTCTTGGTTCATGTTACAATGCTGTTCTGTAAGCTGCAATTAGCTTCTACCCCCAACCACACCCCAGCACTACCCCCAGCCCTCCAAAGTCAAACACAACCCCTGATGCGGCCCTCAATGAAATAGAGTTTGACACCCCTACTGAACACATGCTGGTCCTTCCCACTCCATCCTGGTCAATTTTCTTTTAACTGAATTTTAAATGTAAGATCCTGTTTATTGTTTTAATATTTTATAGTGCATTTTAATTGAATGTTTGCAAGCTGTCTAGAGTAGCTTTGGTGAGGTGGATGGATCTTATTTATTTGGTAAATAAATAAATGTTTAGGGCTGTTAATTTTATGATTTGTATTTTTACAAATGGAACTTGCAGAATATTCTGGTATAATTCTAACTTACCATTCCCTCCAAACAGGGTTTCTATTCTATTTCCCTCCCCCCCCCCTCAATACTCTCCCTAATCCCTAACATTTTATGATTTCTTGATCATTGTTATTTCAAAGAAATAAACTAACAAACTAGGAAGCCAAATGACTGAGATGGGGCACCATTCAAGCATATGTATACCTTTGGAATGGTAAGCTTTTCTTCAATAAACGACTTTGCAAACATTCTTTAATGTTTGCTTGTTTTTAGTGCTCCTCTCTGAGAGAAGCTTGAGTCATCAGAATTGGATACAATATTTGGGATGTGGTCTGACCCAGTGGTCGCCAACCGGTGGGCCGCGGCGAGAAAATTTTGGAAGTCCACAGAGAAATATCATCCCCAGAACACCCCCCAAAGCAATTAATCCAGACTGCACAGGAGCATGTCTGCCCCGCCCACATGGCCCGCGGGAACCCTCCCTGCCCACTCACTCCTTACCTGACAAACTTGCCTGCTAACTTGCTATTTTTCCTCCCCCCGCCACCATCAGCTGTTCTGCTGTGCCAGGAGATTTAGATTAGCTAGAAAGCAGGCAATCATTGGATTTCTTGCTTTCTAGCTAATCTTTAGATCTTTGGCTCTGCTTTTAAGCAGAGCCGAACCTCCCTTAGGACTGAAGCTTCTATTATTCAGTGCAGACTCAGATAGCCGATGGCAGAAACCCAGATCTCTAAGTGAACCTGTGATTCTGTGAGCAACTCAATCTGCCTGCCTGCTTTGCCTGATTTTGGGTAAAATTGCTCTTTTTAAAAAAATAAAAATTCAATATTTACATACATGGTGTGTTGTTAGTTAATTTTGTGAGTTTGTTTGCAAGCAAATTTTATGTGACAGACTCAGGTAGCCAATGGCAGAAAGATAGATCTCTGAATCTGTGATTCTGTGAGCAACTCAATCTGCCCAACTGCTTTGCCTGATTTTGGGTAAAAGTTGCTCTTTCTTTAAAAAAATAAAAAATCTGTGTTACACACTTAATTATTCCTCCCAGCTTAATACCTTCAATGAGTATGGTTATTCAACCAATGGTAGAGTCAATGCCAGCCCCTTTGTTGATATCTTCTCTACTAGACCTCATGGCAGACTTTATTGAACACTCTGCTGAAGCCAAGCTATGCCAATCTCTTTGTCAACTAAATTGATTACTTTATTAAAATAATAACAACAAAACAACTGGTCGGTTTGGCATGATTTATCTTTGTTCCAGGTTGGCTTCAGATAAACAATGCACTCTTCTCTAAATCCTCACAAACTTAATAATCTGGTCCAAATTTTTCATTGATGTCAACATTAAGCAGATTAGTTTGTAACTATCCAGATCTCTCCTGTTTAAAGAATGGATCACTATTTGCCTTCCTCCAATTCTCTTTTTACCCCCAAGATTGCTGAAAGATTACAGAAAAGAGATCTGAGATGATACACACTGTGGTTCTGATTAAAGAGGAAAAAAAGAGGGTGGGACACATAACAGCTAACTGCCATCTGGCAATACCCCATATTTGCCTCTATTACTAGCTAGCCTGTTTCATACAATTATTTCTAAATTTTCAATTAACAAGAGAATAACAAAATAATATACTTTTCAAAAGAATAATTATGACAGAAGGGCTTGTGTCTCCAGCAATTAAAACTAATGAAGTTTCACATTATTTCACATGGTTAGTTTATTATTTTGTGGTACCCATGGACAAGAGTTAATGTATTATTTTATGTATGTACTCAATATCAAATTAATGAAAGAAAACAACCATTATATGTCAAATACATATTTTCAAAATAATACTATAACATTTGCCAACTTACCATGGTAAATATCCTGTAATGAACCACCTCCACAGAACTCCATGCAAATCCACAATTTATCACGTCTAAACATCAAGGGTCTGATTAGTTTTGCATATTTATAAACACTTCATGCAATCTTAACTATGAAACTTCAAGATTTTGCAATATATTTTGAGGAAAACTAAGCCTTTCATCTTTCCAAAACAGAAGGCTATTCCACTTTCCTCTCACTTCTTCATGAAATTCCAGTACCAACAAATTCTAATTCTGACTATTGGAAGCAGACTCTTACAAAAATTCTAAATTACTACTGAATTCTGTATTTAGAAGACTTATTGAAAACTATGAAAATTCATTTTAATGAATTAAAATCTAATCCGTTTTGCTTTGTTTGATATCTAGATGTTAGAGTTTGTCAGAGTTTTGATATCAGTATTTATACTTTAAAATAACATAAACTAGCTCTATAGCCATGCTCTGCTATGAAACTATGTGATTGGGCTTAGTTTTGGGGAAGGAAAATAAAGGGAAAAAATTGTGAATACCATTGGTATCCATCTGGCTAGCGTGATCTGTTAACTGAAATTAGGCAGTACACAATATGAACTTCCTAGGGAGTATAGAATGCCACAGTTAATTAGAAATCCAGGGTCATACTAGGTTTTATTTTTGCAAACAGTGAACAATGTTTACATTCTTATTTTATGTACATCATAAAAATTATACCTGAGATAGCTGCCAAAATAAGCAACAATGTTTGGATGTTTACAATCTTTCATCATAATGATTTCCTGCTGCACAACAGCAAAATCTTCACCTATGAAAAAAGCATGTTTAGCTTATGCTTATGCTTATAGAAAGAATGTTCCATTACTTACATAAAAAGCACTTCAATTCCTGAAAATTAATGAATCAATTATTTCCCCATTATATTTAATTACAACATATGTTATTCCATTTTTGAAGTACATGATATAACACAATAAAAAATTAACATTAGTAGAAAACAATAATGAAGTATGATCACCCAATATGCCAGCATTCAAGTTATCAATATTTTACTAAAACAGGTTATCAATATCTCACCAGGAAAACATAGATTAACTATTGATATTATCTTGTTAAATAGAACAAGTATTATTTACTTCTATAGTTACAAATAGGATTTGGTATTTAAATTTATTAGTTATGTTGCCACTGTTGGAAATGGCTGATCCATGCTAAATTCTCCCACCACCAAATTTAAAACATGGAATATGGTCCTTCAGAACTCTAGGTGTTACTGATAAAGAGAATAACATAGGAAACCATTGAATAAACTTCCAGCAACAGAAAAAACAATATATTTTCTATTTTTTGCAATGTTATACAGATATACCTGCCATCAAGAATTATTATATATATCTATTTCACTATGGATTGGGAAACTGACATCTATGTTATCCAAAACAGATTGTGACAACATCATTCATGTTATATTTAACAATATAGAACTGAGGGTATGCAATACGGATTTACATGTACACTGGGAGTGAAACAACAGGAACAGAAGCTATGAACCAGTTGCTGTGATAAATATTACAAATGCAATTACTGAAAATTCTTTAAATATTCATTTTTGTCTTTTGTAACTAACATTTCTGACTGCGTTACAAGTTTTGCTGTAAATCAACAAGCAAGAATATCTGTAGTTGTAAATAAAAACCTATGATCTCGATGACATCTAATGACACCTAGTCTGCAGAGTAGTATGTAACAAAAGTTGAAGAGATGTGCATAAATTATGCAATCAATAATAAACACTTTTTAATTTAGCTCAAAAGTCTACAGCTTCCAGGTATGTTTACCTTGGTAGTAAGATCATAGAGTAGGCAGTTTGCTTTTGGTCTATATTCTATTGTGCTAGTCTCTAGATATTCTATTAACTTATAAAGGACCTTGAAATACGGTGAAAGCATTACCTACATCTATTTTTGCTTAGGTCATCTTCTGAAATTAATACAGTTACATTGTAGTGCAACTTTATTTCAAGCCTCGCTCATACTACCCAGAGCAAATGCTATTGGATGTGATTCTGCAATTTCCTGGTTTGACAGCAAATTGTTAATTTATGCCAATCTTATTACCATTTCTTTCTTTTTTTTAGTTTTAATTAAAAAAAAACCAAAACATTCTAAACTTTTGGCTGATTAAAGCAACCAAGTAGCTAGCCTCATTTTTTTCTCTTCCACTAGCTAATTGGGTGCCTATGCAATGTCCTTAGTACAACATCTTTTTAGTTATGATCGCAGAAATGTGCTGTAGTTTAACCACCATGACTACTAGCCACTTATTATCTTAATATTTATTAGTTATTCTTATATGTAGTAAAGCATTCCTGTTCACTTTCTCTACGTCACATAAATTCCACATCATTTATTTCACCTTTCCCCAGCTGCCTTTTAAAAGGTAAATACTCTCAAACATTCTTCATAGGGCGTATATCTAGATAAATAGAAAAGTAAATTCTTCGAAGTGTTTCCATTTTTATTTATTTTTATCCTGCTTTGCTACCAAACAGCACTCAAAGTATCTGACAAAAGTATTAAAAGTAAAAGTAAAATATGTTTAAATCCCATATTAAACACTGTAAATAATACATGCAAAGGAAAACTGTAGTAACACACACACACACACACACACACACACACACACACACACACTAAAATTAACATTTCAATAGCAACTTTTTCAATATGCGAATTCAGGTGGAATTAACAACTTCAATTCTACTTTTTAAAGAGGCCCATTTATGCATCTACCTTATTTTGCTTTCCTAAGTGTTACCCTTTCATGATATGGAGGCTAGTTACATATCATTTAAACATTCCAATAGAAAGGCAATTTTTGATTATATAGGAAAATGTGCAGCTAAAATTACTTATATTCTACTGGGTCATTGTATCATTTAAAAAGAAAGAAAACATTTAAAAAAATACAGGAAATAGAAATCTTGAGATTAAAAACTGCTTACCTGGTTCTAATTTTATTACTTTAATTGCAGCCAGTTCACTTGTATTAACATTCCGAGCCTATTTTTTAAAAAGAGAAATTGAGTAAATTAAACTGTGTTTTAGAATCATTCTAAAAGCACAAATCCAGAGACTTAAAAATATCTTCAAACTGAGCTCAATTTGTAGAGATGAGGACTTTGGAGAGAAAGAGAGATCCCCAAGCACATGCAATGAGGACTTCCAGAGATAGATGGGCTATAAAATATCAAAACACCATAATTAATTGTATCCTAATAATGGTATAGTACTGTACAAATTATAAAATATAGGAATCCTTCAGGTAAATCTCACTTCTTGATTTTCTTTGGCAACAAGAAGGAATTTCCTATTTTATCTATATTTTATCTTTATCCATAACAATAGCTTGATGAAATAATGTCCCATTTGCCACCAAATATTTCTGCCTTTGAATAAAACTGCCAACAGCAGAATTAAGGATTCATACAGTACAGTTTAAAAGCTAAAACAGACAGGAAAAGTACAATTCAATTTTGCCTCAAAAATAATTAATTCTGTATTGTAATAGCTTCATGCAATGATATTCTTCTTAAATACTTTAAGCATGCTGGTGGGAAATTGTTAATGAAGAGTTAACTAAACTATGAGATATAAAAAGGAATAAGACAGGAATGCCTACTGTTCCTTCTCTTGTTTATTTTAGTTCTGAAAATACTGTACATAAGGCAAAATGAGAGGATTGTGTGACTAAATATTTAAAAAAAATGTATAAGTTAAGGGCTTTTGCAGGTGACTTGATATTGGTTCCGAAAGATCTTTTAAAAGAAATTGAAATATTATGATGTATTATTTATTTATTTAATAGGCAAATTAAAAGAATTGGTCCCTTAACAGGTTTTAAGAATAAACAGAAGATGAAGATGTTAACAGAAATATGAAAATAGAAGTTCAAACTAGAAGCTAGAATGATGTTTTTGTTTCAGATAATACCTGTTTTGACAACTGATACATCATTTAAAGAGTGGCAGAAGGATACATTTGGCAGAGGAAAACACATTAAATATATGGTGCTACAAGATGCAAAGGAAAGAGGAGGAGTGGGTTTACCTGATCTGTAACTATATTTGGAAGCTTGCTGTTTGGATAGGATGAAAGAGTAAGAAAAAGAAGGCTTTTGAATTTAGAAGGACATAAGCTGAGATTTGGGTGGTATGGATATTTGTGATATGAGAAAGGTCAATGTGAATTTTAAAAATCATTATGCTAGACAGGCCATGTTTTGAATATGGAATAGATATAACTCAGATTCTGATCAGAGTTACCTCTGATTCTCAGCACAAGAAGCATAATATAGACAAGAAATATTAAACGAACACAAAACACTAACTTTTGCCAAGGTGAATGTAAGATTATCATATAACAGTGTAGCACTTTAAGTACTGATATTAGAATCTGATGAGGTTGATAAAAGCAGCCAAACTGATAAGAATTAGCAACTAAAATAATAAATTAATTCAAATAATTTTGAATTAATCTGAATCCTCAAATTTATGGCAAATCAGACAAAAACCTAGTGTTTTAAATCCTTATGTTGAAAGACATACACACTTTGGATCTGGCAGAAGGCTATGTGCAGACTTTCTAAATTAAGGACAGTATCATGCTTTTCTTCTTTTTAACATGAGAGTATTTTTGACACTGATGTACACCTCCAAATCTTAATCTGCCATCCTTCTAATGAAGGAATCCTAAAGTAAATTATCATCCAAAATTGTTGTAGTTTGTCACCTTGCAGCAAGGCATGAAAAATTGATCTATCCTAATTGGCACATTTCTGACAGTGTTTATAAATATTTTGGAAAAAAAACACTGGAATAATATATCAACAAAACAAAATCTTCTATAATTTGTTCAGTATAATATTTACAGTAAACTTGCTCAGTTGCAGCATCACAAACAAATATATTGTGAGATAGTAACCATAAATCAGATTACAGGGGCTAAGAATCAGATGCATTTGAATTTCATTGTTTAAACTAATGTCCTTTGCTTTTAAATATTTAAGTTTTAGAACAGTGGTCCCCAACCTTTCCGGCTTTGTGGACCAGGGGTGGGGGGGAGAGGATGGTTCTGTGCTAGTTACAGGCAAGCCAAACAGGCTGTGGCCTGGTAGTGTGTCACGCCCCAAGGGTTGGTTATTGGGGACCCCGCTTTAGAACATAAAATGGAAAACTGTTTTCTTCCAGATAATCCCGGACTATATATCTCATCAATTTTTTCTAAGAAAGACTGATGGGGATTGGGGTATAACAATTTTAAAAGGACCACATATTTTTTCACGTATTTTAGGCAAAAATAAAACCTAGCATTTTATTAATTTTTTGGGGTCAAAGGCTTATTTCTTTAAAGGTAATGAGTCAAGGGGCACATATTGTGAGTGTAATTTAAGTAGGCAGTGAATGGACCAGAACTATAAGGTTAACAGTTCTCTCTCTTTCTGAAATCTCTCTCTGACTCCCTCTCTTACTCAGTTCCAAGCAGCAGGCTATCAGTAAAGGAATAAATAGCATTATCAATAGTCTACTGATAACTTACTAAGAGATTTTAAAATCTAGGTAAGGCTGCCTGTCCTTTGCATATACAGATATATACTCAGTTATAGTTAAGACAAACATGCTGGACAAAATTTAATTCTTAAAATGCATACCTTTCCAACTGAATGCTGAGGTGTATCCCTGATACCAATTTAAGTCCATTGTGAGACTGTTTATGGTTAATTATTATCAGTTTAATTTATGGTACTACATGTAGTCCTTGGGCTATGACCATTCATTCAACAAGTGTTCAAAATTATAATAGTGATGAATGAAAGATAATTACAATTGGTCCTCAAAGTTACAGCCCTTGCAGCACTCCTGAGGTCACATAATCTAAATCTGAGTGCTTGGCAACTAGCCTGCATTTATGATTGGCCACTGTTTCCCATCATTCTCCTGCCCTGTGCAAAACTGCCTTCAACTTCCCCCCATCTGCCCATCCCCCTCCATCATAGCCCTTTCGACTTGTCTGCATTCCACTGTCTATTCCTGTTGCTGCCCCTTCTTGATCTGTCATTTTCTTCCACTGCTGGTCCCTGATCCAAGCACAATCTTAGCCTAACAAGTGCAATCTGGATTCTGCCACCAAGCGTCAGGGTCATATGCTGCTTTGTTTAATGTCTGCTTTGCTAAGGACAGAAATTCCAGTCACAATTCTGGTCATAACCTGAGAAGTACCTGTAGATATTGTGGATGTTTTGTTGTTACAAAATTTGCTTTAGTGTATATATTGCTGACCCTGGATGTTTTATTATTTCATGCTGTATTATACCAGTAATAATTTTACAGAGTTATGTAGACTATTTTAATTATTTTTTTGTAAGCAACTATGAAGCAAAACAGACTCAGCAATGCAGAAGCACAACAAATATGGAATGAAAAGGATGACTATTCCCAGATATAGACTTTGTTTTTCCCTAGAAACCTAGCTTTCAACCAATTCTGCTAATGCAATACTAACATTAGCAATAACATCCAGGAATAAATTCTCAATCTGAAGGGACCCATCACACAATATATGTTAAAATCATGCTAAAAATGAAAAATTTAAACACATTTTAAAAAAATATTACCTCAATTGTACAGGTTTTTTAAAGAGCAACAATTGGTTATACCCTAATTGGAAAGTCTTTGGGCACTGTGGATGCCACAATCCAAACAAAGAAACATTTTGATTTATTTGAAGCATTTATATCATTTATATATTGCCTAATTAACAAATTTTGATTATATTTAGTAGCAAAACATTGACTACAGAAACCAGTAAAAATCTGGTTTCATACCTCTTGCTTCATAGAAAATATATATGAATGATGCCTAGGCAAAGTGTTTTCTTTTAATACAGTAACAGTATTGAGTAAAGTGTTTGTATGCAAATATGCTTGCAAATTATTTCTCATGTGGGTGTGTATCAACCCATTTTTAAAGTGGCAGTATTTTCTACTACTTGCCTCCCTGTGTTGTTTTTAAAAATGACTGTGATTTTAATATTAGAATTTATTGAACTGGTCTTTGCTAGTTGCCAAAATTAAGTTTTTCTATATTACTGGCAAGCGTTTTGTGGCATCTGCTGAGCATTAATGTTTTATTAATTAACCATAGACTGTGTTGATTAAAGAAAGTATAATCAACTATAGAAGTTCTTTTGACTAACTCCAGTTGCATAATCTTGTTTCTTTTCTGTTACAGCATGTAAAAGAAGACAAATATTAAAATAATCTCAACGTGATTTACCTAAGCATGCACTTCTGATTTATTGCTTTATCTTTGCCAATATTTTATATGAGCACTTATGTGACTATGCAACACTTTAAAAATGATTTATTTATGGAAGATGCAAATATTTTTGTTTAATAAAGGTTGAAAGTCAAGGGCTTAATTGAAAAACAACAGAAATCAATGAAGTTAATAAAACATAGCTAGCTGGAAATTAAGCTAGTAATACTTTACCCAATTTTTTAAATAGCCTGAAATTGTATTTTAGGATATTAGAAAGTTAGGTGCAGGAAAATTTAAACAATTGTTTCATATTTACTTTTATTTCAGCTTTAGAATCATAGTTAAAAATCTCTTTGCTAGTTTAACAAACCTGAGAAGGCACAATCTCAAAATCATGGAAGTATTTAAAAGTTTAATTAAAAATGATGAGATACCTCCCAAGTGCTTTTATGTTATGTTTTAAATTCAGCCTCAAAACCACCTTAATAAGCTATTATAATTCTGTAAGTTTACTACTGTCTTTATCCTCTTTAAAAATGCCAAATAAAGACTGCAAATTTCCCTGGCTACTACTTCTGACTCATATTTCAAATTCATGTTTTAGTTTCTTATTTAACATCAAGAACTCCATTCATGATTCCCTCCCCCCCAAAATTGTCTGAGCATCTGTCCTCCTGCCACACTGTAAGCAAATATTTAAAACTATATCTGTACATGAAAGCCTTAAAATATATTTAGTAATCTCTCTGTTGCTATTCTTTTTCATAATAGTTTTTTCATTACTTGGAAAGATCAGGTAAAAATGGTAAGACAAAACAGATGCTTAAAAAGAATGATACAGTAACCATACACCCTAGAATATTATCTCTGTAACTTGGATAACAAGCATGCTCTAACATTGTTCTATCAAATTGAGATATTGAAGAATGGCAGGGCTGTTTTCTCTTCAATTGATTTAAATTAAAAAAAGAAAAAAATGTAGTTCACTTATTCACATGGAGATACAAATAACTCTTATGTTGTCCCTTCCATTTCTCACTTTGTTGCTGTCATAAGAACTGTCCTACTTTGCTAAAGGACTGTAAGAGCATTTTTTAAAATTGGGATAAGACCTCTTCTGATGGGAATCCAAAACCTTTATGGAAATGGGAGTCAAAGTGAAGGGGAAACACAAATAACATATGGTGTCCTGCTTTCAAAAATATATTGACAGTTTCTAGCAGAAAAGAAAGTCATTTAGGCACAACATTCGTTCGGGCACCAAATTATTTCAGGGACTGTCAAAATAATTATCAGGTGATTCATTTCTTGTGGAAAAAAACACAAACTTTATGACATTGATTTTGGAAGGAGAGAGAATAAAAGAACAATGAGTAGGGTGAAAATTAATACTGTACCATTATAGATCTCAGGAAGAATCTGAGGGGCACTGATGAAAAACCAGTGTACATGAGGAAGGCCTGCAAGTTGGTTCAACTCTGGAAGCAGATTAGAAGCCAAGGTTCACCCTGACTACTTGGCCCTTATGATCTGTGTGCTTAGAAGCCCGTCTCTCACTATCACCCTGTGCCTGATCTCATGTGCCAGAGGTGGAGGGTACAGGTTCCTTACAGAGTTAATTTAAATTACCAGATTAATCATGCAGAAAAGCTTTTCAGGTTTTTTTCCCCCCCCTGCTGGTACTGTCATAATGCCAACTCAGATGGAAGAAATCTGTATGGAAGGCCATACCGAACCCCGAAAATCAAGTTCGGAGGGAACACCGTAGAGAGTGACAGTTCAGGTGCATTCATAAGAGATAAAAGAGGGACGGATTTGAAGACGGGAGTCAAACCCATCCTGTGACAGGGCCGGGCAAGAGAAAAGGTATCACGGGGAAGGGAGAGGAAACAGGCCAGAAAATTCGCAGATGGAGGAAGGACCACCCAAAAACACCTTTCCCAAGCAGGAAGGCGGGGAAAGAGTCGGCGAGGTTGCCCGACGACGGGGCGGGTGTCGGGGAGGAGGACCTGTGCAGGCTGAAGAGCGAAGGGAGGAAGGAAAGCAGCCCCCTCGACCTCCACCGCTCTCACCTTGTAGACATCGCCGTAGGTGCCGCTACCGATGCGCTGGATGAGCTCGAAGTCTTCCTGGGGGTTCCTGCGGGACAGGTCGCACACCCGCCCCCCGCCGACACTCATGCTGCGCCGCCTCCCGGAGCACGCAGCTGCCCCCTCAGCCCGCTCCGCCGCAGCCCCCGGGAGGACGAGGTGGGGGAAGGGAAGGAAGGAAAGAGGGTGAGCAGGTGGGTAGGGGAAAGGGGGGGAGGAGAAGGAGGAGGAGGAGGAGGAGGAGGGAGAAGACGACCCGGAGCGATCACCACCGACGCCACCTCCCCCAGTTCTGCTCAAGCAACATGGCGCCCGCAGTCACCGCATGCGCATGCGCGCAGGATCTTCAGCTGCCCGGCGGCTGTCTCGCAAGACTTAGGACGCAGCGGGCGGGGGGCAGAGGCGGCGTAAGGGAAAGGTGAGGCTGGTAGGCATCTGGGCATGCTCGAGGGAGGCCGGCCTGGGACACTCGGAGGCCAAATATTCGGACCCAAGAGCCCGAGCAGCTGGTGCGGCCTCGGCGACTTCTGTCTTCCAGCGCTCAGGTGACCGTGAATCCTGGACCACAAGTACCCTTCTTGGCTTGGCGGACCGGCGGACCCTTCTCGGCGGGATAGAAGCATGTGCGGACCTTTAGTATTTAATTACTATTAACTATTTTCATTTAATTTGTAAAGCTGTATACTGGCTATGTAGGTTTTCAAGGCGGTAGTTAGATAAAGTTGTTTACAGTACGGTACGTTGCGCTTTCTGCCGAATTTAGGCTCATCGGTCTGACTTTCACGTAAGTGTATATAAAGTCATTTTTGCACCAGGTGCCGTCCGGAGGGATGTGGGGTGCAATTCGGCAGCTATGCTGACCCTTTGCTGTAGGAACGATTATCACTTGGCACCTTCCTTGAAGCGCTGCCTTGTAATGCGGTGTGCTGCTTGTTTAGAAGGCGGGTGCATGGGAGAGGAAAGGCTCCGATTCTGAAATTGGGCTTCACGCACAACTCTTATTGATGCGGATCTGTCTTAACCAAACCAACAGCAGAAAGCGAATTCATCTTAGGAAGGCATCAAAATCCTGTTGGCGCAAATGATAATGTTTGAGTAAAGAAGTCAAGACTGCCCTATTTTTGATACACTGGTCCTAAGTAACCTGTTTTCCCCTTTTTAAATAGCTTGTAATATAATCTGGAGAAGTCTTATGTTTCTATTAACATTTGGATTCTGTTGTAAATCTGAGGCTTAGCTATAAAGAAGACATAAAATAGAAAATGTATTTATTATATGCATATTTTATTTTTCAATAGGTAGGGATAGGAATTTTTGTCCTAGAGGCCAAAGCACAGTGGTAGCCACAATAGTTGGGTATCTTGCTTTTTAGGAAGGCAGGAATTCTGATTCTGGCCGTAAAATGTTGTGAGTCGTTTCTGTGTAATAGCAATAGCACTTAGATTTATAGACTTTACATAGTGCTTTACAGCCCTCTCTAAGCAGTTTACAGAGTCAGCATATTGCCTCCAAATATCTTGGATCCTCATTTTACTGACATCGGAAGGATGGGAAGGCTGATTAACCTTGAGCCGGTGAGATTCAAACTGTCAAATTGTAGTCAGCTGGCAGTCAGCAGAAGTAGCCTGCAGTACTGCATTCTAGCCACTGTGCCCCCATGGCTCATACAAGCTTGTGAAGAGGAATGAATCTTATCATGGATAAATAATACACATTCTAATTAGTGTTACTTAATTAGTGTTTAGAATATTCCATGTGACCCATTTAATTCTGAAAAGAAAAGTACAAAGTTGTTTCAAAATGTATGTATGCATAGGGAATATGTTAATGTGTTCTATGGTAACTAGTTATCCCACAATCCCCAAGCACTCTAGATTCTAGGTGTTGGACTCAAATGTTGGCAACTGTAACTTTTGTTTAGACCCAAGGATATTTTATCATATTACTTTACTTTTAGTTGCAATACTGTAGATTAGTATAGTTTTCCCTAACTTGCTATCCTCCAAATGTGTTCGGACAATGAAATCCAGAATTCCTAGGCAGCAATTTTTTTTATTGGCTGATAATTCTAAGAACTGTAGTCCAAGTGTTGTCCCTGATTTGGAATGTCTTAATTAACAACAGAAATTTGGGCTCAATTGTGCTCATAAATCAAGATCTGCCCTTACTTTGATGGTGAACGTAAATGGGCTATACAGTAGGATCATTTTAACAACTCATCCATCTGTTTTGAACTGTCCTGCTGGTGAAAAATAGCCATATTCAGCTGGTTTTCATTTTGAAGTTAATCAGTACACTAGAAAACAGTGATAACTTCATGCTTTGTATAAGTTATTTATGTGGCTTTTTCTTGTATATTTATTTATCAATACTACTTGCAATTATTTAAGTTATTCATTTATTTTACAGAATTTATAATCAGTCCCAATCCTAAAGGATTCTGGGCTATAGATAGAATACAAAGCAGCAGCAGCAACATAATTATAAATAACCAAATCTAAATGAGTACAATAATGGAAGGTAACCATAAAGAAAAACAAAGACTAAAATAAAATAAAACCTAAAATGATCAACCCATGATCAAAAGCACCTTAAAAAATACTACAGGATTGTCTAGATTGAGTATGTTAGGTAATCAAAGCTTCACAGCTCATTCATAGCCAATTCATAGTTTTAAAAAATCTAAGTGTCTATATTTTCCATTTTTTGTTTTATAATTGTTTTATCAATTCTTACACACACTTACACACACACACACACACACACACAGAGAGAGAGAGAGAGAGAGATTCTTTGATATATATAAATTGTATGTATATCACATATACAGCCTTATTTAGATTTTACTCTTATTTACAGTTTAGTGTATACCCAGAGCGTTTTCCAACCTAATTATCCCATGCATCATAATTGGAAATATACTGAATATTTTTGGCAAATAAAAGTTATACTATTTATTTTCACTGTCATCATCTTGTATTGCTTTTAGATGCTAGTTATGCCTGCAGTCAAATGTTGTCACTCTTGCAAAATTGCAAATGGGAGACCAGTCTTGTTTCTAGAAATGGTGTTCTGCCACTGAACAATGGCTCCTCCAGAAGGAAAACATCTCTCAGTATGTGCTGTGTAACAGAATTAGGCAAATTGGAACCTAAGGACAGAGCTTTTTCAAAGCCAGTTGAGCATAAAAATTGTGTAAAGCCACTTGAATATGAATTTATCCCAATTGTCCATAAAAACATGAATTTATCCTGTGTAAAGAAGGAGACGAGTTCTCAAAAGGGATTGATTTAATTAAATATTTAAATGACAATGCTGGATGTTCTGGAACTGATTGAATCTGTTGCTTATTTAATCTTTTGTGTGTGCTTCTTTCTTTACAAAAAGTTTAAATATGTGTTTTGTATGTTTTTTGTTTTATACATTTTTGGTATATGCTAATGGTCTGCAACCTTTGTGCACATGTGCATGTGTGCACAGCTCAACTTGCGCAAGTTGAGCTATGTGGGTATGCACACCCACTGACCTGCTGCTTGCGCAAATCAAGTTGCACACTTGCACAATGGCCCACTGTTTACATGGCCTAGTTCCAAAAAGGCCACAGCCCACTAATGGGCCACAGCTTTTGGGTTGGAGACCTCTGCTATATGCCACCTGAGTATTTTTTTCTGAGATGTGGGAGCATATCAAGTTGATAAATAAATTGTATAAACTGATAGGTGTTTCCTAGATCTTTTAACTATGAACCCTATATACCGCATTATTTATTTGTTTTATCCCATCTTTATTACTTCATTAATAACTCAAAGTGGTGAACATACCTAATACTCCATTTTCCCCACAACTACATTTCTGTGAGGTGAGCTGGGCTGAGAAAGAGGGACTGCCCTAAAGTTACCTTGCTGGCTTTAATGCCTAAGGAAGGACTACAGCTCACAGTCTCCTGGTTTCTAGGCCAGCATCTAAACTAATTGGCTCTCTATATTATGTTGTTTTTTGGAGGGGGGGGGAGATTTGTGATTTATTAGCATGGAAGTTTTATTATATATTTTTGTTACTGTAAACCAGAAAGAATCTAGAATGATTGATTCAGTGGCATACAATGGGGACGATGCAGGTGTCTATTGAAATTTGGCCAGATTTTAGCCTGAATGAAGCATCGGATATGCCAATCAAGAGCCTTAAAAGAGCTACATTATGCTATTTTTAAAATATATATCATAGATCAAACGTCTCGTGGCCCTATCTTAATAATTGGCAGAATATGCTTATTAATATTCTAATTCTGAAATAGCATTTGTGACACTTGGGGCCCACAGAGCGTGGTCCTTATCTGTTTATTTCAGGTCAGCAACTGAAACAGTGATGGTGCTGAATGAGTGCTACTTATAATAGGTTCTTGAAGCTCAGGCCATTTGTGACCTTCTCTGCTGGTTTCCCACAAGCAATGTAATTGGGGATGCCAGAAGGGAACATCATAAGTTGCTCTGGTAAGTCTCTCCCACTACAATGCACCATGCCCTTCTTCCTTGGGCCTCTCTGCATTTGTACATATGAACCACACCTTCAGCTTCTCAGGATCTCCCTAATTCCCTGCAGCACCCCTGCAACTCTTTATTGGAGACCCCTGCTTATACACACTTAAGTGGTAACTGGTGCTGCCTGAATTGCTATCATTTAGCAATGTAGTCATGTAACATTATAGATGGTGATCACATTGTTTAGAGATGGCAATCTCAGGCCCAACTGTTATTATAGCTTGAGGATTACCTGTGCACCATAGTAAAACAGTTCCACTGGCCAACCTAGGAAAATGGAAGTCTTATCTATTTAACCCAAAGAGTTGATGAAAATCATTTAAAAAATAGGATATATTTGTTTCACTTTCTGTACCCAGGGAGTGGGGAACATGTTCTGTATTAAAATGAAGAGACGTTTTCAGTAGGTTCTGCTTTTCTTCAGATTATATGCAATTTTTGCTTTTGGATAAATGGATAGATTGGCTGCATCCATTGAACTTTATGAATAACCCCACTCCCACTGGCAGTCATGTGAGAGCCTCCAGCAAATACTTTATTGATGGGTGCCTACATCTACTGTGCAAGATGTTTCGGTGGATATTTCACACCTAATGAATCGAAATCCACCCATTCACATATAACTAATAGAATGTTTTTGGAATTGATACCTTTCTCCTCCCTACAAAATACTAATCCTATAACAGCATGAGGCAATGCTAATTAAACAATGAGATCGTTTGGCATTTTCACATACTGTAATAAGCTCTATTTCTTCCGCAAGGACTCTTTTTGTTATTTTATTTTATTTGGTTTGTCAATTGCTTACAAGATAATAAGTATGAGTAAAAACATAGTTATGAATACATGGATACATATTAGAAAAATAAAAGAAATAGGACAGGGACGGTAGGCACGTTGGTGCGCTTATGCACACCCCCTACAGACCTCTTAGATTAAAATCTTGAGATTTTAGATTTTCCATTCCTAATTTCATGAGGATAAGCATATTCTATCATGCTTATCCTCATGAAATTCCCGCCTGCAATCAATTGGACTAACTAGAATAAACGAGAACACGCCTAATATTTCTTCATTAAGACAAAGGATCCTCGGCCGCGCAGCCTTGCTCAGCCCTCTCCCAGTGTGCCGAGTTGGCTTCGCGCGCTTTCTTGCTGCCGGGCGTAGCTGCCGATCAATTGAAGTTAGGGCGGCCATCTTGCTCCCCCTGGCGTCTCTCCAGACGTATTGCAAGACTCCTTGGCTGTCTTTTGTGTAGCGCGACCCGCCCGTGGAGAGTGAACAATGAACGCGGGACAGATGCCACCGTTTCCCCAGTCGATGGCTTGATTATGCGAGCGAGCAGAAACTGGAGGCTCCTTCTGGACGCCTTTGCTGTCACTGGCGGCACCATGCGCGGAAGCTCTGAAAGCAGGACGGGCATCCGTTGAAAGACACTGCGTGCCAGACGAGGGGCGCCCGGGGACGAACCATGGGCGGCGTGCGAGCGCGGGTGCTCAGTTTGTGCCTCAGCCTCTGCTCGTTGGCGTTGCTCGTCACGGCCATTTTCACCGACCACTGGTATGAGACTGACCCCCGGCGCCACCGGGAGAGCTGCGAGGACCGCGTCGGCAGCGCCCACTCGCCCGACCTACGCCGCCGATTGCTGCCGCTGCCGCACCTGCCCCTGCGGGATGCCAAGGCACGGGTCCCCCGCGGAGGCAGTGCGGTGGCAGTTCCCCCCACCGGGAACCTGCTGCTGCAGCTAGAGAACTGGCGAACGCTCCTGGGGCTCCGGTGGCTGCAATCTCGGTGCGGCCGGCCACTCTTCGCCACTTACGCTGGTCTCTGGAGGAAATGCTACTTCTTGGGGGTCGACCAAGACCTGGATAACCTACTGGACAGAGGTGAGGGGGCGACCTCGGGCGGGGTTGCAGCTTGCATTCTCCTTTCCCACCGTTGCCACCTCAAAGTGCATCTTCTTCCCAGCCCGTGCCAACTGTGAAATAGAACAGGCCCCACCATAATTTCTTCACTATATAGATACATGGTGTCACATGACATACGCACGTCTTTTTATGTCTTTTTCTTTTGTATGTGCACCTCCTTTTCTTCCCCAAAAGTCTGTCACTCCACACCCCACACCATAATTATGTGGATTCCATCCTGAAACCTCCCAGTCTAGAATGAATCTCACAGCTGTTACTATAATGCACTTGTCATCTCCAGGTCACAACTCCTGAGAATACAACAAACACGCCTCTTGCCAGCATGTCTAGTGCCATCATCACACAAAATCATTAATCATGGCAGTCTCTTTGTTCTTTCCTTTACATTGTTATGGTTGTTGGTTGTCATCACTGTGCTAGTCATTGTCCTCAATAGTCCTCTTCTGCCCTGCAATGCTGCTCATAACTTTGTTGAATACTAGTTGTGGCTTTCCACCCTTCTCCTATTTTCCTCAGTTTTCTGCAAATGTAATACTAGATGGAAGAAAAAAAAACATATTGATGACTATATGGATACAGAAGTGCATTCTCTGTGACATGCTGCATATCACCAATAGAGTGCATTTTATTAGTGACCAAGGAGCAGGAGACTGCATACTAATTTGCTAAGCATTGTTATATTCATCTGTTAATGTATATTAATCACACAAAGTACACAATGAATCCAGTCTTCATCAACCTCTCAATGACTGAACCCCATGTATTAGCCTGCTTCATTCTATACCTCTTTCTTTCCCATGCATTATGTGTCTTCATTATCTGTATAGTATGTAGTAACCTTAAGTTCACTAAGCAATTATTCAGCATGCCGCAGCATCTAGTTTGGGTAACTACCAATCTCTTTCAAAACTCCCCAAACAGAGTAATACATAAAACATCTATTATAATAGTGAATATTTTCTCTTCAATTATGCAAGGACCATCCACTGGTTACAATTTCTTTTATTTCATTGCACAACTTTTAGGCTGTGCTTCAAGAATTCCTTTCATTCTGAAAATGCTGTGGAGCCACTGCACCTAATAAAGCAAAGGCAGATGACCTTCTCTTTTTGATACATAATGGTCTGTCTTGCAGAGATGACATTTTTTCCTTCAGCTGATAGAAACTACTAATCATATTTCTGAAATAATAGAACACATGTCTTCTTCACCCCAGAAACTAGCATTTTGATTTTTTGCTTTTCTGTTTATATTTCCAGGAGGAAAACACTCATGTCCTCTATATTTTATATATAAACATTTTATACGAGACATCCTCTCAACTCTTCATACTAGCTCTATAACAATGTCTACAGATAGAGTAAATGGACTTTCAAAATGGCAAAAGCAATTTAAATTATTTTACACTCTAAACTTTCAGTTACTTAATATGGAAAAGATGTTTAGTTTATAGCAGATAGCTCAATAAAGTGTTCACTCAGAATGCAACTCTTGTTGAACTAAAAGGCATATTCCCAATAATCCATAATCCTGAATGGATTATCAGGAAGGGAACAAATAAAGAAAATTTATTCAAAACTCTTGAAAAACTGTACATGATTCTGACCATTAATTTCAAAAAGATATTGTATATCTGAAAAAAAAACCAGAAGGCACTGGAGCATCTCTATTATGTCATTCTGACAAATTGTTTAGGAACATTGTGAAATAGAAAATTATAAAGTAGAAAAAGAAGATAAAGATGTGCTTGTCTTCCTTTGCCATACTACATACTAGATCCTGGGTTTATCTGTTAATGCTGAATGGTGGCACCCTCAAGTGCTTATGATAACCTTTTAAGGTCCTACATGATTTAAAGTTTGTCTTTGAGGTCACCTGCTCCAAATAGAATCTCCCTGCCCAGGACAATCCTGTGGAGGCCTGATAAAAGTCCCCATCCATGTAAAAGTGTAACAAAAGGGGATTGGGAAGTAAACATTTGTTTGTGAGATGTCCCTTCCTATGGACTATTCTCCCATTAAATGTAAGACTTGTACCCTTACACTTTTTATTCAAAAAACTGTTAAAATGTGGCTTTTTAAATGTATAGTTGGAGACTGAGGTGAAGAAGAGAGGTGTACTTGAGCTGATTGATGTGTGCTATTCTTTTATTTTGAATCTATTGGCAGCTTTATTACTGATATCTTTCATATGCATAATATGTATTTCCTGCCATTAGAGTATACGATTGAAGTAGCCTAGGGTAGCTTTTATAATAAATGAATAAAAAAACTATGCAGCCAATAATGTAGCTGTAGAATTTATATTGAAGATGGAGTGATGGCCATTGGCTTGAATAGTTTTAAAGGGAATTACCATGGAGGACAGGCTTATCAGTGGCTCTGTATTACTTCCACTAATCTACCGTGTTTCTCATATAATAAGGCCGGGTCTTATTTTTTTTTAAGCCCCGAAAAAATGGCTAGGTCGTCTTTTCGGGGGTGACTTAATTCCCCTCCCCCTTGCATCTTCGGGCGGGTGGGCGGCGACAGCTTGGATGTAGACCTCGGCATTGGTGGGGCACTTCGTATCGGGGTCAATGCAGGCAGCACCATATCCAGGTGTGCAACAAAAGTACTTCCTAATGGCAAGCGCCCCCCCCAATTCCCCCCCATTTCGCATGTTTTAATATAGGCCTTAATTTGGGGGGAGGGGCTTAATTTCATTTCATGCCTATAAAACATGCTGGGACTTCCTATTGGGGGAGGCCGTATTGTTGGAGAAACAGGGTATCTTCAAGCAGCGCTTAGTGAATATAACAAGAGAATAATACTGTCCTTATGGGCTTTCTCAGAGAATCTTTTTAGTCACTGCAAATGTTGAATACTGGGCTAACAGTATTTGTTGCACTATCTTTAAGGGACGAGCTATTACATGCAATATTATTTTCTCCTATACTTTGGAGAGAAAAGCAGATTCTGAAAAAAGTAATTTGAGGTACTGTTGAATAGGGCAAAGAAAGGATGAAGTACAACCTCATTGATTTCTCTTCATATTGCCCAAGCTAATGGACATTCTTTATTCCCAAATCAGCATTATTTCATATTTTATCATCCTTCCTGGAAATATGGCTCTCTTCCTTACTTGAGTTTAGCTTTTAAATTCTGTCAAATAGATAATTGAAAATTTGAACCGTAGCGTTCTCTGCCATAATTAAGCAACCTGATCTCTCACAACACTGAAATGCTTTTTAAGGTGTCCACCTTTAATTTCTTGGTTAAATAAAAATGTAGTAGGTATTGCTCTGGAAACATGTTCTTTTTCAAAAATATTAAAAATTATTATTTTTTACCAAATTGTTTAGCTGATTAGCAATATTTTTTCTTCTGATAGCAAATATCTTGAGTTGAAACTCTACAGTACTTAAACAGATATTTCCTCAGACACTGTTTTAGTGAAGATCATATTGGCACAGTGGTTACAATGCAGTACTGCAGGCTACTTCTGTTGGTTGCCTGCAATTTGGCAGTTCAAATCTCACCAGGTTGACTTAGCCTTCCATCCTTCTGAGGTCGGTAAAATGAGGACCCAGATTGTTGGGGGCAATATGCTGACTATGTAAACCACTTAGAGAGGGCTGTAAAACACTGTGAAGTGGTGTATAAGTCTTATTGCTATTGCTATCATAAGAACAAATTCCAGAATGAAGAAATTGCTAGGTAGTATCAGGTTTCCATACTAAATATAGATATATATGATTTACATGTTTGCACAGCCCGTACTTACATTATGCAAGTAACATACAGTTACTTAATTGTGTACGACTTTTAACAACACTATTTGTTGTTTTGCTTTTAATCTTTTTAATGAAAACTGCCTTATGAAGGTTTAGCCCAAAAGACAGGTAGAAATAAATGTGTAAAAAATATTACATGGGGGCTTTTAAATTGAAATGACAAAGTAAGAAAACTGAGCTTCAAATTCAAATCTAAAGTCAAGATTCAAAACTGAATTGGGAAAAAAAAACATTGTTATATTTCCAGTTGTTAAAAAAGACTCACTTATGGCCAGAGGAACTTGGTTAAGAAATCAGAAACCAAACCAGTTGAAGACATAATTGAGGTTCTAGAATATAAAGACAAAAGAACAAATGAAGGCAGGATTAAAAGCAACAGGGTAACAGGTTACAGGCTCACTACTGTAGTAATATAGATTGTTTCTAGTAATTAGCTACTCTGAAGCATGTCTTACTAAACTGATGTTTTTCATTCCTAATTTGGCTTCAAATTATCTAGACAGGTTTTGGTGCTGTCAGGTATATATGTTTACTGCCCATATACTCTTCCTTGTAAGCAGAAGCCTCTCCACATTATGATAATTCAAGTTGGGCGGTTCTGTCATTCACCAGGGTTGAATACCTGAGCAGACAGTCATGGTGCCCATCAGTCTAATTGATCTTCTTTTGAATAGTCTTCTTTTTACAGGATAGTGCCATAACTACTGAACAACTTTTTTAAAAACTAAACAGTGTTGCCACATAACTGTTATACTCCTCTGTGGCCTTTGGAGAATGAATATTGTTTTACAGAAAATCATTTCCGCTATCCCCCCTTTTAGATAGGCCTTGCCATTTTCAGATGCATTTTTGTACAGCACACGTTCTTGTATCACAAGCATAGTTAAAGTTTTAGCATTCACATTTAATGAAAGTAGCCCATAAAATATAGGAAGTATCTCCAAAGAACAAAAAATAAAAAAGTTCTTTAAAATCACATTATATATTAACACAACAATATACTATGGAATTCAAACCTTAAACAATATGATCACAAAGAATTTTATGGGATCAGATTTTTCGGTGTTGGAAGAACTTATTCAATTGTAGATTGTATGAATGTATATTTAAAGCAATATACATTATACCATTTTTCCATTAAAGTAATATATTTTTTATATTACGCATGCATAATTAATCAGAGTTTTTGTAGCTTGATAAATTTCAAAATTTCAGAATATAATTTAGCATTATATTCATATCTTTGAACCATGAAATTTCTTTACCATTTACAACCTGTTGAATATTAGACTAAACTGGTGTCAATGTACAGCTGACCAGAACATATAAATAAAAGTTCCTTCTTCCATATTGGACTTCTAGCATAAAGAAGATAAAGCCATTCCTTGCTAAATGTCCTCTGAAGCATCCAGTTTATTTGAAAAATAATCTTTAGTCAACTTAAATAATGTTATATTAATATTATATATATTTAAAATGAGACTAAGTTGACCAAAGATTATTTTTCAAATAAACTGGATGCTTCAAGGAATGGGCTCTATCTTCATTATGCTAGAAGACCAATATGGAAGAAGGGACGTTTTTTTGTACTCTAACCTATTGATTTGTTAAAAAAGAACATTTCCCATATTCATCACAATACGGTTCTTAAATTGTAAAGACAAAAGTACAAAACTTATAGAAGTTTCTTACAAAAGAATTTCAAAACCATTTTCTAATGGTTTCTAATTAGATTAGGAATTTCAGACACAGTTAGTGCATCAGAACTAAATTTTAATTGCATATATTTGCTCTAGGTTATCTTGAAAATAGGGCTATAAATTGTTTTAATTGTACTGCATAATCAGCAACTGTGAAGTTTGTCATTCAGTTGGGGATATGCTGTCTTGTTAGCAGCCAAACTGTAAGAATGAGTAAGTGCTTTCATGATCATAATTGGCAAAATTATTGTATAATATTTCACTGCTTGTTTCTCTAGGGAGACCTCTTAATATTTATAGTCAGCCAAACCAAAGAACAAAAGGAAATATTCCACCCTACTCCCAAAGAAGCTGGGACTTTTCAAATTCATCCTAATTGTGATTATTTTGTGCACCTTTTATAAAATTTCAGATAGTTTTCCATACTGTAGTAATGTGTCTTGACAGAAAAGGGTAACAATCAAACATCTTGTATAAATCAGATTATTTCTGAAAATAGGCCACAAGCAGATAAGGAAAAAAAAAACCCTATTATATGGGAGTTATAATAGTGATGCTACAAAGTGGAGAATTACAGCTGCCAAGAGCCATGGTAGCGCAGTGGTTAGAATACAGTACTGCAGGCTACTTCTGCTGACTGCAGGCTGCTAACTGGCAGTCTCACCAGTTGAAGGTTGACTCAGCCTTCCATCCTTCCAAGATCAGTAAAATCAGGACGCAGATTGTTGAGGGCAGTATGGTGACTCTGTAGATCACTTAGAGAGGGTTGTAAAGCACCGTGAAGCAGTATATAAGTCTTTATTGCTATTGCTATTGCTTTCTAGATTGTGTGATGACCCGGAGTGTATCAAAAATATAACAAAAACCAAAATGTAAATAAAGGTCCTTTAATGCCTTCAACTTGGCTTCACTGTTTAATTGTTCACATTTGAAGATTAAACTATTTTCAAAATAACATTCCAAACGAAAGAAATACAGTTCAAATTCAAAGAGCAGATAACGAAGCAAAAACCAAAACCAAACCACACTGAAGAAAGTTCCACGACAGACCAGACTTACAAACTTCAGGAAGATAACCAGGTACAATCCGTTGGAAGAACGCCAACCAAGATAAATCTCATCCAGGAATAAAACACTAATTTGTCTCCAGTGTTTGTTAGCACACAGGTCCAAACTCTTATGCAGTTCTCACACCTGCAACCCACGAAGAGGATCATGGCCCTCTCCTCCTGAGTAGACCACGTTTTTCCCTGATCCTCTCCTCCCTGCGTGCCCTAGGATGGATAGGGGATGGGCCTGGGTCCTCCTCTGACTGCTCAGCCAGCCTCTGCCCTTTCCCCAGCCTCCACCACCAGCTCTGGAGCCACACTTCCACTCCCTGTTGGCTGTTCCTCCTCTCCCTCAGAATCAGTCTCCACCAGGGGCATGACAGATTGAAACATACAATTGACTGCTTGATGCTTTATCACCTCCTTGCCAGTAGGGATTTTTCTTTAAAGTAATAATAGACTATGTGTGAACAATACACTGGATTTAATCTAATTGAGGAAAAAGTAAAAACCAAACCTGTGAGATTGCTATCAACGCTCCAGGCCAGTCATTTCTGCTCTTTTTTACATCTCCCCCTCTATAGTGGGTTGGAGGAAAAGTAAAAAAATAAATAAAATGGAGATGGCATTCCTAGAATAGGCCTGTTTATAAATGGGGAACCTAGTACAGCATGGAAATTACAGGCTAGTATTTAGCAGCTACCCCTTTCCAACCCCAACACTGGCTTACTACTGTATAATATGTCCCATTAAACTAGTTGCATAAGTTTTATGAATAGAATAATAAATTATGATTTGTCTTTTGGGGCTCAATACTGGCTTATTGATTTTATTTGCTTACATACAAAATGTTAACTTGCCCCAGTAAAATTTGGGCAGTGTACAAGTTCTAATGTGAAAAATATAATAATAAATATCTAAATTCCAAACAATATCAAAACAAAAAATAACAAAAAAAGCAAAGATAAAATCCAAGGTAGGCATCACATTCATTGGTGGGAAAATGCAGAAGTACTATAATTAATATGATGACGGTAGTCCCTACCTCTTCATATAAGTTCTTTGAACAAGGAAATTACTTTATAAATATTTCAATTTCACAATAAAAGTCTAATTTGGAAGCATCTCATTTACTGGATTTCTCTGTGTTAAAAAGTCATCATTCAGATCCTGTTCAGAATTATTCATTAAATATTTCTGTGTTTTCTAAAGGTATTGCTCAGAGATGCACAGCAATCAAGTATCATTTTGCCACACCAATACGACGCTTATGGAACATCCCCATCAATTTAACTAAGATTATCCAGCAGGATGAATGGCACTTGTTACGTAAGTACTTGTGCATTTAGGTTGAACGTGTGATCTTCCTAATATGTGCTCCATTGATACAGGGCAGGTTACAAATGTGAAAATAAATATTAGTATACAATGTTCCCTATTCTAAAGTTATTGCATTCAAACAAAAAGTATTGCACACCAGTTTTGGAAATGTCATATTTTATATACAATCCATCATTCAGTTTGTTAAACAAATATAGATGTTTCCTTTTAGAATAGGGTGGAATAACTTTTTGATGGCAAAAGGCTACCTATTTAATAGTACTTTTTTTTTTAGTAACTGAGGTGCAAAAATGAGGTAGAACTGGTCATAGAAATGGCCAGTGTTGATTTTTTTAGAATAAGGGTTTTTAAAACCTTACAAAAAGAAAAACAAATCAGATGTGTCCATCACTTTTTTCTTATTAAAATTGACAAGCAATAATAGCTCCATGACTTGAAAATTTTTATCATTTAAAAAAGTCATATTACATTTAACATGCGGGGAGTCCTCAATTTAACTACCTTTCATTTAACAACTGTTCGATGGTGCTGAAGAAAGTGACTTGTGACTAGTCCTCATACTGTATTTATGACTACTGCAGCATCCTGAGGTCTTATGATCATCATTTGTGACCCAGGGGTCTTTCAGCAAGCAAAGTCAGTGGGGGAAACAATAACATTATTTGCTTAATGACTGTGATTTGCTTAATGACCATAACAAAAAAAGGTTGCAGTTGGGCACAGCTCACTTAAATGACCATATCATGTAGCAATGGATGTTCTGGTCCCTATTGTCATTGAGTACTACCTGTAGCTTATTTGTAGGAATGTGCATACATAACAATAGGTTTAATGTTATTTTAATGTGTGTGGATAATTTATCACTTCCTTCACTTATGAGAATAGATCTAAGAAGAATTACAGCAGGTTTTCTTGGGATGGCAGCAGCTGTTCTTCTCTGCGGGTGCATTGTAATTGCAGCTGGTTTCTTTTGGGAGAAAAGCCTCACACAGCATGTTGCTGGTCTTCTTTTCCTCATGTCAGGTACACTTTCTTTTTTGTCTGTTAGTTTTTAAATATAGTTATTCTATTTTTACTGCTGGAACTGGGAAGAGTAATTTGGAGGACTTTTTACTTCAGATGCCAAAATAATTCGACTACCCGCTTGAAAGCGAAAGTGCAAGAGGAATATTTATGGGTAGTCCATGGATATTTATGGATAGTCCTATGAAAAGCCATTACGATGATATATTTATTCTATTTACTTTGCTATTGTCTCCTTTGTGAGGTAGATTCCTTCTCTTGCAGTCAATTCTGCAAGAGTTGGGAGAAGGATACTCTTAAGTTATTTATGTTCGATTTTTGCACTGTAGTTAAAAATCCTAAAGGCTGATTTGAGATTACCAGCTCACATAAGGCTGTATAATGGTTCAGAGCTGACATTAATTTCAGGAGACCAGTAGTACCAGGAAATAACTTCCAGGAATAAAAAATTTCTACATTCTACACTAAGCAAAACCTAAGCTGAACAGGCTACTATTACTAGATTAGACACGTCAGTAAATGTTGATGTATTGAAGTCCAAATGCTGCTTAAAATACTGTATTATCAAAAAAGCTTGAATTTAAACTATACCTCAGCAAGTTAGAAATGAGACATGGATTATCTAGATATAAATTACATTAGGATATGCAGAATTGGAATAGCCCACAGATCCTTCCTTGCCTGCCAAGAACACACAGCAAATCCTCAGGCAAGCAATTTCTACAGATCTTTCTGAATCAAAATACCTTATATGTACATATTTCCCTATTTTCACAAGACTCTGGCAGTGAATTAAGGTAAGCACCTGTAAATCAGTCCATTTGCTACTATGCCAAGTTACAAAAGTGTAAATCAGGCTGTAGTCTTTCCTTAATACTGCAAGAGCCAGATAGTCACACTTTACATAGTACTGTATATAATGCATCAAGCAATGTAATATCAGATCATCTCTTTTTACAAACCTCCCCTAGCAGCTATTGATTTCTTTGCTGTGCTAGTTTATGACCTTTCACCAGTTGTCTTTTGCGTTCTGAGGGGCTGGTAACCACTGCCTCTAGTTCCAGTCCAGATTCTCGGCAGTAGCCCCTAAGGGTACAGAGCCTGATAGTGCTAGGGCTTGCTGGCATCCAAAGTACCCATTTTGAAAAAAACATGATTCATCTGATTTGGCTCTCAAACCTATGAATCACAGAAGTATTAAATTAGGGGAGGTAGAATACAGAAATATCAAAATAAATAATTTAATAAATTAAATTAAATTAAACAAACTTTAAGGGATTCCAACCCAAATATCTATCCAAGATGATGGCAACAAAAGGATCTTAATTTAAAATATATTGAAATAATTTAATATATGAAAATATTGATTAAAAATTGGGCATTTAAGAAGCACCAGTTCCTTTTACAGACTAGGGAAGATCTTGGGATTGAATCCCAGTTCTTGGAATCCTGGGACTGAAACTTCTTTTTGGAGTCATTGAAAAGTTCAATTCTACTCGTTTGACTTGAATATCCTTTATAAAACTCAGCAATAAAAATTTGGATCACAACTATTTTAAAGTAGTATTTTTTTTAATTATCATTTGTTTGCCACCTATCTTGTTTCAAAATTATTATTACACTAGGACATATTTGCTTTATAATAATGTAATTTAAATTGTCATTTTTCCTGATACAGTTCTGATGACAGATACATTGTATGACATTGTTATTCATGCCATTCCTGTAAATGCAAATTCTTATCACACAATTAAAAGCTTATGTGTATCTAGATGATTTGGAAATTCCAATTTCTATACATCTTATAACTCTGTTATATGTTTCCTTTGTAGGCATCTTTTGCACTATTTCTCTCTGTACTTATGCAACAAGTATATCTTTTGACCTAAACCGCCTTCCCAAAATCATCTATGGTCTTCCTGCTAATGTTGAACATGGATACAGCTGGTCTATATTCTGTGCATGGTGCAGTTTAGGACTTATAGTAGCAGCAGGATGCCTTTGTACCACTTACCCGTTTATTAGCAGGACAAAGATTAGCCATCTAAAATCTACCACAAACTCTTCCGTATGACTTATGGGATATATTTTTTTTGTTTATAAGGCAACAGGAAGATACATAAGGAAGCTTAATTCAGAATCCAAGCACAAACAAAACCCAAATCCTTTACTGAACATTGACTTAGTAGCCAGGAAACATTGACTTAGCAGCAAACAACAGACATCTATGCTTCCATGATGGTTGATATATCAAGTTCAGACAGCAAAACTATTGTAGAACTGATGGTGATTTAGCACATGTCACAAATGAAATGGAACTATTTCTACTTGAACAAGAAA